TTCTCCGGTTACGAGAGTAAGCAGTAATTGAAATTTTTGTGAAGCGGAAAAGTTCATATTATGCACCGAACTCCTGTATAAATCAAAAAATGTCGGCCACTGTTTTAAATTGCCTGAGAAAACAGGTATATCTAAACGGGGAAGATTAAAATTTAGGTAAGGCGGCAAATTATGGCTCTGGCCTGGTGGCGAAGGTGGTACCATCATGGATATTTCAGATTTTATACAAAGTTCACTATAAATGCTTTTAATTGAAAAGTATTGATCATCAACTTCCGCTCGAATTAGCTCCTGCTGCTCAAGCATTACATCCGTTACTCTTTTATCAGAAATTATGTCCAAATGCAACCTATCAAACTCATTATATGTTGATTCTAACGCCGAATATCGTATTTTAAAATCATTAATTTTAGCTGGGTTCTGTGTAGCAGCAGTAGCTAAATCGTAGATTTCTTTCAATCTTTGTATAAAAACGCTTCTTCTATTTACTTTTGAATCTGCCATGGTTTAAAAATATTTTTAGAAATTTTCTATATCATAAAAAAAATGGCAAGAAAGAAGAAATTAAATTCAATTATATTAAAATATGCGAACAACCTCGTAAAATCCACCAAAACCACAATTGATAACAAAAAACAATCAAAATATCGTACACAAAATCAAGACCGCAAAAAACTCTAAACGATTTAAATTCTTTACCTGTTTTCCGATACTTCGTCAAATTTATTCAAGGTCGTCTTAGAATGAATTTAGAAAAGACAAAATAATTTTATTTTTGAATTACTGATTCTTTAAAAATCCGGGCTCGAAGACCATATGTAAGAGACTCAATGTTTCCTAGACTTCCTTTTAGAAGACGCGTGTGGAATAATAGTATACAAGTTCATCGAAATAAATTCTTAATTTAAAATTTGATCACAAACAAAACAAAACTACGAATAAACCCTCGAATTATAAAATAAACGGCCTACCTTATGTGCACTCTAGTGTAAGACCCCCGAGACCTCTCGGATTTTCTTTCTCCACACCATGTCCATTGCAGCAATGTAGTGGGGGTTACCAATCGCAAACACGCGAAAACTATGCGCGGTAATTCGGCCAAACAAAACCCGAGGGCTCATATTATCGCGGTGAAATGACACGCGTTTTTTACCATAAAGTATATAAAAAATTAAATTAAAATAAAAATTGATAAATGTATTCGATTAACCCCGAATCATAAAGAAATCAATATATAGAAAACCCAGGTAATGAATTGATATTTAGTGTCAATATACAAAATAAATAACCAAAACTGAACACTACCACTACATTCAAGAAAGATTTTCCAATTCCCGAGTTTTATATACCGACACGGATTCTCTTGTATATAAGATATTATCCATAGACCTGTACGAGATTTTAAAAAAGGATTGTTTCCGGTATTTTGATACATCGGACTATGCGGAGGATAATCCGTACGGTATAACCACAGTCAATAAAAAGGTTCTGGGTATGATGTAGGATGAGAATAATGGGCGAATTATGTCTCATTTTATCGGACTTAGAGCTAAAATGTACGCCACAAAGCTATATAAGACACCGGAGGAAGAGGAGTCCGCAAAACAAGAATTGATGGCTGCGGAAACAGATCAAGAAGCATTTGAACATGAATTTAAAAAGTTGGGTATAACGAAGAGGATCAAAGGAGTTAAAAAATCCTTCATCAAAACTAAGATAACTTTTGAAGATTTCGTCGATTGTTTGCAAAATTTCGCTGAAAAAAACATATCTTGTTTGTTCTAGAAAAAACACGGTTTGTCCGTTTGACAATAATCCGCATTTTTACTTTGCAAAAATAATCGAATTAAAATGAAGTATATAGTGTTTTTAATGTCTTTTAAATGACAAGAAGTATAAATGTGAGTGTTGGTATGTGTGTGTAACTTTTGTTTGATCTAGAAAAAATTGACAAGTCGCACATAATGTTGGCGCATCCAACAGGGTGGGTGGTCGACAGAGGGGGACGGTGAGGAGTGTATTTCCTATATAGATTTCTTGAAGGAACGGGAACAAGAACGTCATCAACAGGAACACCGGGATGACCGACAAAGTGGACGCAAAAAGAACAAGAAGAAAAAGACCCTCCTCGATAAATATTTGTTATTGTATATAGTTTTCTTTAATTAAACTTGGACCCACCGGGTGTACCTGCTTATTAAGACGCAATGTATAAGTCACTCGACGTGTTTACCGTCGATCCTATACTCCCGATCACCGCGTCATCCCGTCCCAGCGTCTCCGCCACCTGCCGGGGGGCGCCTCGCGGTGCCGCAGCCGCTGATAGGAATACTGTCGAGAGCGCGCGCGCGACATCGGGCAGCAACGGGACGGAACCGGGGCAAACCGGCGGTACATAATTAGCTCGGCATTAAAGTGGCCGTTCAACAACGGACGGGTTTCGGATTCGATGTTCGGCAGGAAAAAAGTGAGTCATCATTCTCGAGATCGAACACATAATAACCCATTGGTTTTAATATGCTCGCTAGCTCGGCGTTAAAGTCTGCGTTCGACAAGAGACGGTTCCCGGGTTCGATCCTCGGTAGACGCGAAAAAAAGGTGAGTTACGTGACCATATGTGATGATGGGTTGCGTGAGGGTTGATGGGGGGTGGGGTGAGGATTGAGTGAGGGGTTTGACGGGAGCGGTGAAGTAGAGGGAGGGGTGAGGGTTGAGGGATGGGGTGAGTGTAGGTAGGTTGGTGCTAAGATAGGAGATGGACCGAATGACCTTGACCGGACCAATTTTCGCTAATATGAATCTTAAATTTTCTTATGGGAATTTACATGTAAAAACCGCCGAAATTGCTGTTGAACGCAGGTAGTATATCTACTACTCCCCGCGTGGCCGCACCGCACCATCACCGCCATCTGCCGGGGGAGCCGCGCTGTTACGCGGCCGACGGTTGGAATACTGGCGAGCGCGCGCGCGCGCGACATCTAGCAGCGACGGGCGGAACCATCCCGGGCATGCACCGGGGCGAACAGGGCGTTACACAAGGGGGGTTCTAAGGTGAGGAGAACACTCTGGTAGCTAGGGGGACTCTAGGGCGGGGCAGAGCGCAACGCGCCGGGGCCCCTCTGCGAGTGGGTTAGGAGATTGAAGTTATGTGCGGTTTCTGCTCGTTAAAACGGTGTTATTTATCTACTAGCTGCCATATATACAAGCTCCTTCTCTAGTTATTTTCGAGAAACCAATGAAATCGTGTTTTACGAAAGCATTTGCGCTCATCACTCGACTCGAAATCTCGGTAACGGTTGGTCGTACATCGCCGTCGGTACGATTCAGCGTTGAAAAAAAAATCTATAATCTGTTCTTTGCTCTCCGTACCGCACTTCCAGGAAGGCTTATAACGTTAGTTGAAACTAGCGGCTTCAAATTTCCCCCCGTTCTAATCCTAGGCGAAGTGCAACGGCCCGCAAAATATTGGACCGATTGGATATCAACAATCATTCTGTCGACTATTCGCGGTTTTTGTTCGGAAAATTGCTATAAAACACAAACTATCGAGTTGAAATTCGAATTTAGGGTTCAACACCCAGAGGAAACTTTTCTGGACCGAAAAAAAAATTATTTTCTTGAACTCGAAAAGACGCGCCAGATTTGGGGCAATAACCTTAAAATACGGTTAACCCAAAAATATACATGGTGTCCCGGTTATGAGCAAATAACGGAAAATTGTGATTTTTTTGTAACTGAGAAACCGTGGCAAAAGCTACCGTTTGAACCGTCTTTTAGATCGCCTCGAGGGCTACAATTTTTGCATTTACCGTTTTCAACCGTCATAAAAGGTGCGTGAGATACCTGCCAGAAGGCTACCATTTTTACGTATTGTAGAACTTGCTTGAAACGATAATGCCGGCAATCAATACCTCGTATTTACTCAATAGATGTTATGCAGTCCAATCATTCGGGCGTCGGATGCAACACTCTTTAAATATTTAATTTTATTATATTCTTACGTCGTAGCTGCTTAAATTTGGTAAATTATTGTAACTGAAGTTTTTTAGGACGAAAAGTAAACATTTTTCAATTGAGGAGAAATATTTATTTAGTAAAACGGGTGACATTGAGTGGTCGGTTTTCAGAGAACCAAGTAAAGGAACTTTTTCAAAAGTTGGTTTCCGATTATAAAAATTTACAATTTATATTTTAGACATATTTAAGCAATTGCAGCGTTGCTATAATAAAGCAATTTTATTTTTTCAAATGGAATACCCTATATTTTCTTTCAAATTCGGATCCTTTTGAACATTTTAAATAAAGTTAAATAACGTATGTTATCGTAAAAAAATATATTTGGATTTACGCATAAGACGAAGCTAAAATTTTTTTTGTTTTTCCTGCTTTCTTCACTGCATAAGTGTAAAAAAATTGAATGATTTAGTATAGCTGGCAGATATATTATACAGGGTGTCCCGAAAATGTGACAAACTCTCCTCTAGGCGGTCTATTGTTTCTCGAAAGTTTCAGAGTGTTCCGTAGGAGCGCGATAGAAAAATAATGTGTCCTATAGCGATTTTTTTTATATATCTGGAAACACTATTGAAGTGATTCCAAGATGTTATATTTGTTTTGGACCCGGCCATATACCAGACCCCATGAGGCACAAGAATATTTTCCCCCGCACTGAGCCAGTCATCCTTTTTCCTATACAGTCATCCGAGTCTGAAGCAGGTGGCAGTTGTTGGTGCCCCTAACGTGTAAGATATCGAGTCCTAGGAGGGCCTCCATCAACACAGTTGATCAGATGCATTGAATGTTTTAACACTTTCTTTCTAAATATTAATTAAACAGTTATTTTCACTGACTTTGAAAACTGAAGAACAATCAGTTCTTCAGTTTTCCATTGACGATAGGAACCAAAACTTTAGTAAATGTTTATGTAGGCTGTAAAAATTCACCCCTTAGAATACTACCGCTTGTTCGTGGGCATACGAGAGTGGAAAAAAAACGTGAAAAACTTACAGACATTTTTTTATTGTAATCCAAAAACTAATCAAAATGAAAAGTAAGAAATAATTCCTTTAACGACTAAATTCAATCCGGCCACGATTGAAATAAATATATAATATGCGCGCGCGCGTGTGTGTGTGTATAAAACATCTCGCCCCGCTTACTCGCCAAGACAACTCATCAGGGCCCCCGCCCCTTTTAACTGTACAAGTCGTCGTCGGCACCGTCGTCGAATATGGCCTGGTCGCCGGGAGCAGCGCCCGCGGCTGGCTGCGGTTGACCGCCGGCAGGGGCCCCCGCTCCCCCAGCCGCCGATGGAAACCGGAAGTTGGTGCCGAAACCGCGCGACTGCTGCAGCGTCTGCGCGAACATCTCGTATTTGCGGATGTCGTTGTCCGAGACCGACCTACGGGCGAAACGCATCGCCTCCTCGAAGTGGGCGCGTGTTATCTCGGGCACTGGGTCGTCCTCGTCGAGCTATATATATATAAAAAATGAATACTAACCATCGCCGAGAGGCAACCAAACTTGGTCGTTTGAACTACCGACAACTGTCTTTCTCAAACGCAATTTGATAAAAACTGGCTCTGCCAAGACCATTCGCAAGATCGCCTATAACGCTGAAGGGTTACAGATTTCCTCATTATAGAAACGAAAATAACTATTTTACAACTGCCGAGAAAAAAATTTACGACTCTTTAAAATAGGACGAAACTCCTGCTGAGCACCATTAAGCGGGCGAAATCGTAGGGGTATTGTTTATGTTTCATCGTCGCTAGATATCAAAAAACATGTTTTCCAGTTAATGCTGGTTGCTACGAAATTTTGCATAATATTAGGTAATAGCACCCTTAGTGTCCAAGATAAGACAAAGACGTTAATAACAAAGCAAACAATCTTAATTTTCCATCTTCCTACACTTTCCCACTCCCCAATAGCACTTATCGACACTCAGTGACAACGAGTATACAAGTTGTAGTGCGTATCAGGGGAATAAAAAAAAACTGGAACTGGGACTTGCGACCCGTTGCCCCTTGCCTCGAACTGTTTGATTTAACCACAACAATGGCAAAACAAAGAGTGTTACTTCCCGTCTTAGCGTCAAAATTGTCACTGGGCCAAGATGAAAGAGTGGTCCTATAAATATGTGGCAATTTTAAAAATTTGCCATTATCTATCTTCCTTTTGATTTTGTAATAGTAAATTATGCCACAGGTTTGAGAAACGACTCTTATATAATCATAAATAATAATTTTATTATATAAGGAAATTAGAAAACATAAATTAATGAAAAAAAAATCTCTTGGACTCTGATGATGGTTCCAAGAAAACAAATATTAATATTAAGGAAGATATGGCAAATGTTGAAAATCGCCAATTTGTCAATTTTTCCTTGTAGCTCAGAAATTACAGGCACACCTGGTAGTCATTAAAAAAAACTCACGTCCATGGCAGCGTTCGGATTCGCAGCGCGCTCCCTCTCGCGTCTGATCTCCGCCTCGATCGACTGCCTGATGGCGAGCTTGCACGCCCTCTGGCATATCTCGGTGAGGTCCGCGCCGGAGAAACCGTGCGTGACCTTCGCGATGTAAGTGAGCTCGACGTCCTTGGCGACGGGGGACTTGCGCAGATTAGCCCTGAAGATCTGCTCGCGCGACTTCTCGTCGGGCAACGGGATATAAATCAGTTGGTCGAGGCGCCCGGGACGCAAAATAGCGGGATCGATGATGTCCGGACGGTTTGTTGCCCCGATAATGAACACGTTTTTCTTCGCGCCCATGCCGTCCATCTCGGTCAAGATCTGATTGATGACACGGTCAGCGGCTCCGCCCGCGTCCCCCACGTTGCCTCCCCTCGATTTCGCGATCGAATCGAGCTCGTCGAAGAAGAGAACGCACGGAGCGGCCGAGCGAGCCTGCACAATAGGAGCGGTCATTTAAACTACCCGAAAAGATTATACGCGAAGACGCGACGCACCAATAATCATAAGAAACTTTAAATTTGTTTTCTATTAATAGAATCACTTAGGTTAAATTAAAAAACAGATTCCAAAAAACTTTCACGAGTGCTAAAGTCACTTTAGAAGAATTTTCGCGCATAGTCAGACATTTTTTTTCTATATTGATCCAAAAAAAAAACTCCCCCAGCTTCGTCACCTTATCGAATATGTCTCGAACATTCGCCTCGGATTCGCCAAACCACATGGTTAGCAGTTCCGGTCCTTTGACGGATATGAAATTCGCCTGGCACTCGTTCGCGATCGCCTTCGCCAACAGAGTCTTGCCGCAACCTGGCGGACCATAAAACAGCACGCCCCTGGACGGCTGCATTCCTAATAATTAACGAAAATAAGAGTTTTGTGCAATGCGCGTGAACACTGTGGTATGTCTTACCAAACTTGAGGAACTTGTCAGGATGCTCGACCGGGTACTGCACCAACTCCTGCAGCTCCTTTTTGACATTCTGCAGGCCGCCGATGTCTTCCCAAGTGACGTTCGGCACCTCGACGACGGTTTCGCGCAGAGCGCTCGGACTGCTCTTGGTCATCGCGTAGCGGAAGTTCTCCATGGTGACCGCGAGGCTGTTCAGCACCTCAGCGTCGATCTGGTCGTCTTCCAGATCGATAAGATCCATCTTTTCACGAATCTGCTGCAGAGCGGCCTCCGAACAGAGCGAGGCCAAGTCGGCACCTAGTACAGGAAGCACAAAAAAACTTGTAACCTTCCAAAAACTGGATCTTAACAATCGCGCTATATTTTTTAAATATGTCTAACGTAACTAAAAATTCTTAAGGATTGATCTAAAAAACCATGTAGATGTTTTCAATCTCACTAAACCTTAGATGTTATTCTTTGAACCTGCATTGATTTTATAAGGATCTATGAGATCCGGTTAGCTTTTTTAAAGAAAAGAATCGCTTTTAAGATCACATTTCCCTTTGCTGAAAATTGTTTATAAATAGACATAACATAAATTAGAACTACACAATATCGCATTTATTTTGTCTAATAAAGTTCAGTAGCTCAAGCGTCATATAATACAAAACAAAAATTTAACATAGCACACAGCCACTATCAATTTTTCTTTTTCTATAATAATGTGCGAATTTGCGGAGCGTATAAGTTTTTTGATTAAAATGTGGCTAACAAAGTTGAAAGGTAACCGATGCATAATGGTTTGTGTATATGGGCGATGGCTTCAAATATAGAATTTTTATTTATTTTCCAAATTTTCAGAAATACTATTGTGGATGGAGGCCAGAAATGATTAGAACATCCATTTGGATAAAAATTATAACCAAAATATAAACAGGGTGTTCCATGAATGGCAACTATGATTTGTTTTTACGAAAATAGTTTGTTTTATTACTTCCCTTCCTTATTATTCCCGTCAAATCCAGAGTTGCCCTATAAAATTGAATTATTTAAAGAGCCCAATATGTTTAAGAGTGGTTTAGTTCATTTTGCTTTGGACATACGCGCGACAACCTCTGTTGGACCGATCATTGTTATTTGTATGAGATAATTCAACTAATCTTTCGAGGTCGCCCACGTTTTTGGTTACTGACATAGGCAATTGCTGATGAATGATCAGAACCCAAAGTGATTTTGTCTAACATGCTTAACCAAGTGACTTGATATATACAAATATTTGCAATTTTAATTTTTGAAATATATATATATATATATATATATATATATATATATATATATATATATATATATATATATATATATATATATATATATATATATATATATATATATATATATATATATATATATATATATATATATATATATAAAGATGCAATACTATAACAGTATTAGATTGCATAACAGTTTATGTCTTTAAATAATTTAACATTTCTGTGATACACAGATAAGTTGAAAATGCTGACCACTCAACCTGAAGCATAATTTAAATATCAAATGCAAAACAGCACTTACATTACGTTACATTTACAGGCAATGCATACATACGTTTTAATGATGGTTTAATAATTAAGCGAGTACAAATTAGGCCAAAATTAAGTTTTTCTTAAATGTATTAACTCCATTTATCGCTTTGAATTCAAAATTATCACTAACTAGGATTAAAAAATAATTTAAAATTTAAATTCATTTATCCCTATAACAGAAATTAAAAAATAAATCCGAATTCTATATCGCTTATTAAATATAAAAACTTTGCTTCCACCATTATAAATCCAACTCAGGAGTAATTAAAATATAGACAAACAACATACATTGCTTGTAACCCCAGTTTTATAGTTTTTGGTACATAGCGGTGGCGAATATGAAACTGCTGTGAGACATAGTTCCAACGACCCCACTCACCAACGTGGCCGTGAGTTTCAGCCGCTATCTGCTCCAGGTCCACGTCATCGGCCAGTTTCATATTCTTCGTATGGATACGGAGTATCTCAAGACGTCCAGTGGCGTCCGGGATACCGATATCTATCTCGCGATCGAAACGACCGAAGCGGCGCAACGCGGGGTCGATCGAATTCGGTCTGTTCGTCGCGGCCATCACGATGACATGCGAGCTCTTTTTCATACCTGTCGACAGAGAGAGTTGCTTGTAACAGGAGGGAGACGCCTGTAACACTCACCGTCCATAAGCGTCAGCAGCTGGGACACGATTCTCCTCTCGACCTCGCCATGCGTTTTCTCCCTTTTGGGCGCGATGGCGTCTAGTTCGTCGATGAATATAATCGCGGGCGAGTTCTTGTCCGCCTCCTCAAACGCTTTGCGCAGATTGCTCTCCGATTCGCCGGCGAGTTTGCTCATTATCTCCGGCCCGTTGATGAGGAAGAAAAAGGCGCCCGTTTCGTTAGCGACGGCCCTCGCTATGAGAGTCTTTCCGGTGCCGGGTGGCCCGTATAGCAGGATACCTCTCGGCGGTTTCACGCCGATCGCCTTAAAGAGAGACGGGTGGCGGAGCGGCAGCTCGACCATCTCCTTGATCTGCGCGAGCTGCTTTCTGCATCCGCCGATGTCGTCGTACCCGACGGCGTTCAGCGCCTCCTCCTCCTCCTGCGACCGCGAGAAATAAAACATAAGGTCTGTTCATAGATATAAAAAAGTGACTAACTGATACGAATTAAGAAAACACCCGGGCAAGCTGTAAGAATGAAATATGGCCATACTTTGCTTAGAATTTTATTATTTGGGGTTTTGTTGGGAAAGATACTAAACAATATTTATTCATTTACGTATGTATTTATGTTTAAATCTAAAATAAAATTACAAATTATTTTTATTACCTATTTAAATTACTTAAAATTATTCACATAATATAATCAGTATCTCTATCGCTATCATCGCCTGTTGTTATTTGTTCTATATTATTTGCAATATGGATATACCAGGGGTTCCCAAAGTGTGCGCCGCGGCGCCCTGGTGCGCCGTAGAATGTAAAGAGGGGCGCCGTAAGTCCATCATCATTCATTATCCGAAACATGTCCGAAACAAATATACGCGGGTACCTTATTTGAGCCCTCGCATCTATAAAAACATAGTTACCTACTAACCATCGCGTCGCGGCGTTTCTCACTCGCCAAAAAACCTACGCCCGCGCCGCCCTGATACCCTACCCCCCCTCCTAAGTCTTTAGTAGCATCGGGCGAGCTGCGACGGACGGACGTGTCATAGTGTTTTCTTTCGCTTTGTTTTTCGTCAAATATCTCACGCAAAATGGACAGATTTTTATTAAATAAACAAGTTGGCAGTCCAAATGACAGTGATAATGCATCAACTAGTAATGGCAAGGAAGCAAAGAAGCGGAAATATCGTAAATACGATGATAGCTATTTGGACTTTGGTTTTACTTCAATAGAAGTTAATAATGAAGAAAGACCGCAGTGTGTGCTTTGTTTAAAAATATTGTCATCCGAAAGTATGCTTCCAAGTAAGTTAAAGCGACATCTTGAGACAATTCATCCAACTATGGTTGAAAAATCGCGTGATTTTTTTCACCGAAAATTACAAAATTTAAATAAAACAAAAAACGTATTCACTCAGCAAGCCTCAGTACCTAACAACGCACTGTTAGCATCATTCAAGGTAGCATACAGGGTGGCAAAATGCAAAAAACCTCATACTATTGCAGAAGAGCTTATTCTACCGGCTGCTCTCGACATGGTAAACATTATGGTTGGAGAATCGGCAGGAAAATTAATTTCCAAGGTACCCTTATCTAACAACACGATCGGTCGAAGAATCCATGACATAGCTGAGGATCTCAATTACCAATTAATAGAAAAAATCAAAAACAATTATTTTGGTTTGCAACTTGATGAGGCTACTGACAGTAATAATGATGCGCATCTTATTTGCTACGTACGCTTTCTGACTGACAATATTATTGTCGAAGATCTGTTATTTTGCAAAACCATTACCGAAAGTGCGAAGGCCCAAGACTTATTTGAAATTATTGACAATTTTTTTGTAGAAAATGGTTTGAATTGGGAAAAGTGTATTGGTATTTGTACTGATGGCGCTCGATCCATGTCTGGCAGGTATGGAGGAGTACAAGCGCTTATTCGTAAAAAAGCACCGAATGCTTTGTGGACCCATTGCATCATCCATAGAGAAGCTCTTGCATCAAAATCTATGAGCTCCGAACTTAACCAAGTACTGGAATCTGTAATTAACGTAGTAAACTACATAAAAACTAGGCCTCTTAAGGCCAGACTTTTTAAAAAACTATGCTTGGATATGGGGGCTGAGCATACGGCCCTGCTGTATTATTGCAATTCACGGTGGCTATCACGTGGAAATGTTTTATTTCGTGTGTTCGAATTACACGAAGAAATTCGAACTTTTTTACAGCAAGAACGTCATGAAAGCGCCAAATATTTTACTGAACCAGACTTTTTGTTAAAACTAGCATATTTGTGCGATATATTTGAGAAACTAAATAATTTGAATCTGTCTTTGCAAGGTAATAACACGCACATTCTGAAACTATCGGAGAGAATTGCGGCATTTAAAAAGAAACTACAGTTGTGGATAAATAAAATGAATGAAGGCGGCGGTCAAGATTGCTTCCCGCAGCTGTATAAATATGCGGCATCTAATGAATTGGTTGTCTCACCAGACCTGATTGCCCTCTTCACGGAACACCTATTGAAGCTCAGCGAATGGTTTTCGGCGTACTTTAAAGATGATGATGTTGAAAAATTTGCATGGATCAAAGATCCTTTCCACGCACAAGCTCCACCAGGGTTCACATCACAAGATGAAGAGAGTCTCATTGAGCTCTCTTGCGACAGCAGTCTTAAAACTAGATTCATCACTTCCGACTTGTTGGAGTTTTGGTTATCAATTCAAAATGAATATCCAAATTTAGCTTCAAAAGCTTTAAGAATTTTCATTCCGTTTGCAACGTCATATTTATGCGAGTCTGGTTTTTCAGCTGTAGCTGTAATTAAGAACAAATATCGCTCGAGAATCAATGTGGAGAAAGAAATGAGAGTAGCAGTGTCAAGTCTTATTCCCCGCTTTGAAAAACTGTGTGCATATCACCAAGCTCACCCATCACATTGATTTGACTGACAATCGTACATATTTTATTTTTGTTTTTCATAAGACTTAAGAAATACACAAGTTATTTCCAGTTTTAATTATTTTATAATATTAAAAAGTCTGTTTGATTGTAAGTGTTTTAATTTATAATCCTATCTAACCTAACTACTATCATAAACAATTATTATAGGTGCCTATTTCTTCTTTTTTAAAGAGCAGGGCGCCGTGATAAAGTACTAAATTTGTAACTGCGCCGCGGGATAAAAAAGATTGGGAACCCCTGGGATATACTATTGTTCTGCCTTTTCTATATATTTAACAGAATTTGCCCAACTTTGTGGAGGGATGTTAAAAACTTCAGTTTCTATAGGTTTGAGGACATTAGAGTTAACATGGGGAAAAACATTGTTACGTCGAATGGCAGATTTCAGTTGGTGCCAAACATGTTCAAAGGGATTAAACATACAGTGGTAAGGTGGAAGCCTTAAAACTGTATGCCCTGATTTTTTGCATAATTATCCCAGGTTTGTACAGGTTTGTAACTTCAAGCTTTGTAGAACCTCAATTAATTGCTTTTTTGTATAATCTTCTTGGAAATAAATGTCATTATTATACATGTAGTTTTGGATTGTTGCTTTTGTGTCACATGAGGAAGGGGTTTTAGTCAACTGTCTGTGATAACTTGCACTGTCCATTACAACGACGCTATGAGGAGGAATGTTTGGAACTAGTTTGTTTTTAAACCAATTTTCAAATAAATCAGTGATGGTGCCTTCATGGTAATCCAGAGAAGAATCTTTATTATTTTTTGCAGACAGAGATAGTCCATTTGGAATCCAACCATCTTTACAGCCAGCATGCAAAATACTTATCCTTTTACCTCTTTTTGATGGCGCATTTGTTTTACACTCATCAGTTGAGTCAACCCACCCAAGTAAATAATTGGCTTTTGTTGTTCTCTATAAATCCTAATTTTTTTTAGATATTCCAGTCGCCATTTCTGAATTTTAAAACTTGCCTTTTGTCAAGTTTTTTAAATGCAAAACCCATGTGTTGAATACACTTCCATAAGGTAGTTCTGCCACATTTAACACCGGTTTCATCTTTTTCAAGCCTCCTAATTAAGATCTCTAATGTAGGCACGCTTTGTTTCTCGTATAACTGGTAAATTTTACGCCGTATTATACCTTGATCACTTTCATCTACACTCGAGAAAATGTCAGCATCGCTTCTTTTTTTCCTCGCTGAAATGAGATTATTCACAATTTTCCATACAGTTGATGTTGGAATTTTCGTCAATGTGGCCGTTTCTTCTAAAGATGCTTGCTTGCTGGCACCACGTTCAATGTAAGTCAAATAAACATTGTTTATAACTTCCTTAGTCTCAATAGAATAGTGTTTTCTACATTTGGGCGGGAGCATCTCCTGAGATACACTAGACTCGCACATATTTTGCATAATTCGCACACGATTCAACGCACGCTTTATTACACACGAAATAAGAATGATTACTAATAAACTTAAACTAAGTAGTATACCAAAACAAAGAATATTAAACACAGGTACGTATAAAATTATTTTCTATTACGGCACATATTTTTACCTGAATTTAAATTTCGAAACTTTAGGTAATAATCTTGTTGCATTGTATGTTAATGACCATCCTTGGATAATCTCATTCAAAAGCAATTGGTCACTTTCTAACATCTATGAACAGACCATACCTTAATGGATATAAGCTTGCCTGGCAACCGTCGACGCAGAATTCGAATTTGCAGGATACTTCAACTTGAATCACTTGATACGAAATTAACTTCAGAATAATAAGCCTCAAACTTCCTTTAATTATGGTTTAATATATTATTGCCTGTTGTCATAATACATAAACAGCTTGTTATGAACAATATAACATCGCGAGTGTAATGAAATTGAAAACCAAAAAGAAACTGAAAACCAATTGGAAAACCTATTTATTGTAATCGACTTTTGTAATGTTGAAAATTATCGAAAGATTTTTACAACTCCCTCGCCTCCCTCTTAATATTAAAGAACATAATCCTTCCAAAAAATGTTGGCCTAAAATGTAAAAAATTAAAGTGACCCATTAAAAAAAAGAATTAAAATGTTTTGAACAACTAAATATATATATTTACTACAAAACGAGCTAAAATCCCGAGCTGTACTTGAATCAAAATCAGAAATAGAAAACTATTGAAAAATACTTTTGCAAAAACCAGAAAAAGAGAGGACTCTCAGATATTTAGAATTATGCAGACCTACAACCACAGATCATACTTATACACTCTGTACTTTGTTTCCCCGCTTTCATACCATTTCCTTATTGTTTTTGCAAAATTTAATTCAATTTAATTTCATATTGCTCTCCTATTTAAGTATTTAGAACCCTGCAATTCTGTTTATCCTGTATCCTGGGTATTAGTTATATGATCGGTGACACACACAATGTTACCAATTGTATAAAATTGGCTAAACGTCAATTTAATTTAAAAACGTGCAAAAGTAAACCGGTAGAGGCGAGGCCCCTGGTATATAGAGAGACAAATATAATTCCACTCGTAGTTAGATGCAAAAATAAGTGTTTCTATTTGGTAAATTTTAGTTTGCACATTTAAAGACCACAATATTCATGAGCTAAAAGTAGGACATCACCCACTAATTTGTGTATGCTCAGCACTACTGAGACAATACAAAACAAAGCAGAATAGTTTTTCAAATAGAACTCAAAGACAGCCAAAAAAAATACACATTTCAACAATCTTATGCCAGAAAAACAGCTACCAAAGGTAACCAAACTTTTCTAGGATATTTTCTTGCATCACTTGATTAGCGGAGTTACCAGGCAGCCTGTTCAACCTGTATCAATCTTAGCCCTAGCCCCCTTCCGAATCTGAGCACTCCTTACCATCCAGCACTACTTACCTCGCGCTTGATGGGGTCGCCGTCGCAGTGGATGACTGTGTCGGGAGCGACTATGCAATAGGGGGCGGGGTCGGTCTCAACCACTTTAAACTCGACGGCGCGCATGCCGCCACGCACAATGAAAACATCGTCCTTGTGGATGGGGCGGTAGGCCTCGAGGAAATACGGTTTCAAGTAGACCTCGAACAAGTTACTGGCAGAGAGAGCGAGAGGAAATGTGAATTGCTTTTTTTGTAAACAACAACTGCATCTTTCTGCGCGACGGGTGACAAGAACAAAGAAAATTAACGCGTCGACGCTGTGCTGTTCTGTGTGTAAGCTTGCATTTTTTGGTAGTATTCAATTAATTTGAAAGCCCAAATACTTCCCAATTAAAATTTGCTGTTCTTTTATAAACTTCAAAGAGAACAGCACATGTTTGATTAAATTAATTGCACCTAAAACTACTACCTATATATATTATTTTTTTAAATTTAGGCAAATAAAGAAACAATAATTTATAATGCAAAACAAAGAATGTGTTACCTGGGAAGATTTAACCTTATATACACATCCAAAAGTTGCATCTTATATCTACCTGTATAACACCTACATCAAAACAAAATAATTAATTGCAGACTTATACATCTCTAAAGACCTAAACAATTTTCAATGCTCTATCACTTGTAAGAACTATGACGGTGGGTTTGTTGCCACAAAAATTGTTATAAATTGAACAGTGCACAGAAACAATAACACATTTTTTCAGAATGGTGAGTTTTTTTTTTTTTTAAATACTTTTATTAAAACAAACTTCATCCATGTAATACAACCTCTGTTATCTGTTTGAGGCTTTATTAAGAAAACTAATAATAAAAAACAAGGTGAAACCAGATAGTAGTCAATTGTCAGATACTTACCCAGTGAGCCCCTCCACGGTGTCGTCCACAGGAAGCACATGTATTCTTTTGCCATATTTAACGTCAGGACATGGTTGGATGGAGACCACATCTGACAATCTGACTCGCAGGTTGTTCCTCACAATTCTGTTCATTCTGATCTTTTCATCGCTACACGAATCATCCGAGAGCACTATACAGACGGTCTCTTTACGCCTCTTGCCTTTGAGCAAAACAGTGTCACCCCTAAACAGCTGGAGCTCATCCATTTTGGACTGAGATAGGGCCACTACGGAGTTGTCATCATTGACAGCTTCTTCCACTATGAGCCTGTTTGGGCGGTCCTTCTTGCGAAGAATCGCGGTCGCCAAATCGTCTGGGCTACAGACGACAAGAACATATGAGATAAAAAACTTGGGTGTTGGGAAACGATGAAAATGGTGGAGGACGATAACAAAATATTGGCTCAATGTCAATTTTGAGCTTGCGAAAGGACCAGAAAATAAGTATGGTGGCTTTAAAAATAGCCGTGTATCATCGAAGCGGCGGAACGGACTTATTTCGGCAACGAGATGTAGAAAATGCGTTTGAACCGGCAAGGTAACAAAGAAGATACTTACTTTTGTACGTCGGCCATTGTTGCTATACCGCTGGGTAGACTTACTATCGAGCAAATACTATCCGAAAACTGGATGCGATCAAAACCACGAATTTACTACTGTAAGTAACTGAAAACGGCTGACGAACGTTGAATTGTGCTTTGCAATGACGTAGCTTTTTCACTAATGATGGTTGGTTTCTGACGATTGACAGCAGCCGACCGAACGTGGGGGAAGACGTGAATCGGCAAAAAGTGCCGATATTGCAGAGCACGTTCACAATCTCTGACGAAAAGGATAAATTCGACATTTTGACAAGATCGAACTTCACTTGGTGATGACGTCACATTATTTATGCCCCTTATTTATTTCTCGAATCATTTTAAAAGTCAGACTACTCATTTCTTAGATATTTATTGTTGTAAAATGGTACTCCAACCCTAGTATTCTGTGATAGTACTGAGAATTTACAGATTTGGAGCCCATTTTGTTAAAATTACAACCATATTCACAGATATACGTTCAAACTCAACCAACCAAAAAACCTCCTGTCACTCATAGGACAACATTGACAAAAGATACAGAAAATAGTGTTTACATTTTGACGAATATCATAGTTTTTGGGTAAAATGTTACAGAACCCGCCAGTTTAACGTTAGAACAAGATATACCGGCTGCATTTTAAAGTTTGAATTTTCAGACATGGCTGGCATTAAAGGTACGTACTCCAATGTGTTAAAAAATCGATGGTATTTTTGAAGGTGATTCATGTTTTATATTACAGGTGATTTTTTCAACTTCACTTCCTTTGTACCAATTTTTTCATTACGCATTATATATTAGCATTCACCGAGTTTATACATTAATATGTCTCTTTCATAGCACTGGTATCTCTGGCATTTGCGGGCTCAATTGGGATGACTTTTGTTATTTTAGCATGCGCTCTACCGCAGTACGCGTAAGTATAGGATCTAGCAACAGATAACGTAGACTCTAACGCGCATCTTTCAGCATCTGGTGGCCTTTCTTTGTCGTCCTTTTTTATGTACTAGCCCCAATTCCAACCCTTATGAGTAGGCGCTACTCCGATCCCTCCAACTCCGGTCATTCGTGCCTCGAAGCCGCAATATTCGCGACAATGGGTGTACTAGTCTCTTCTTTCGCGCTGCCAATAGTATTAGCCAGAGGAGGACAGATTCTATGGGGAGCTTGTTATCTCACCCTGGCAGGGAACTTTATAGTGTATGGCACGTTGCTAGGATTTTTCCTGACATTTGAAGCTGAAGACTCAGACTACAACATGTGGTAATATTCAAAATGTACTCGCGGAGAAATAAACGAATATATAGGGTGGTTCTATCTCGTATTTACACTTTATAGAATCACTTTGTGCTAACATCTCGCTATCTGTATAACTGGTGTATTTAATCTGTAGTTTTTAATGTTTACTTAAGACTTGTATTACCTAAGGCTAAAATAATTTACCATTTCCTTTTTCCCTTTATATAATTTGAAAATTTGCGTTAATAGCCAAATGTTAATATATTTTTTGACACTTGCCTGGTACCGTCATTTCATAAGCTTCCTTGTCAAACTGACATGAAAAGTTTAAAAAAGTTATGCCGGGAATTGTTCGGAAAAATGGATCCGCTCGAGCCTATATGCGCAACGCACGACAGGAAGTTTCCGGCATTAAGTAAATCGGACAAGGCAAATAGTTCAAATGCAGGCGTTGACTTCAACAAGCACGAGTGAGTCTAATGCCATTAAGCACGTATAAATGAAACATTGCTGAATCATTCAGCTAAGCTTCGCCCTTATCTAGCAACAACTTGCGATCTGCTTGACAACGGCACAAAACGGTTTTGACTTTAAGTATTCGTTTCGCTAGACGCGAATACAATGTCTTGTGACGTCACAATCATGATCATCATCATTTATCCCACAGAAACACCAAAATCTTATTTGAACGGTATGTGGGTAACGCATGTTCGACTTACTATTACTACGTTAATAGTGCAGCGCCGATATTTAATTCCCTGCCTTATTTTAACATTCTTTTTTTGTCAAATTTGACACCTATCTTCGACTGGTAAAACATTGAATGCAAAAACCGACCGGCACCCTCTACCGGATAGTTTAGAAATTAATTTATTACGTCGACTTGCTACAGATGACAGCACCATACCCAAATCACGTGAAACTTCACCTAACGATCAGCTGTCCAAGCGGGAGTGGTTGTGAGCGCACTTTAGGGGTGTTTCGGCGGTAATTTTCTTCCGAGCAGGTAAATAAAAACGTTACGAGGGGTTATCGTCACCCACGCGCTCTTAAAAACATCTATGCCACTTAATAATTTGGTGATTTCCGGGGCTTATTTTCGGGCCATATTATCGATTGGGTATTCTGCAAGTGTGTTTTTGGTGTTTTACCGATTTACCCCGTTCATGACCTATTTAGAAGGATAAATTTGACCGTCCGGCGGGCGCATTGCGTCTCAAACAGCCGCGTTCGTTTCGAAATTGGAAACGTTCGATATTTTCGGTGATTTTGATTAATTAATACTTGGAACGTGGGGGTGTGGGGTGGTTGGTGTGTCAAACGAGTGGATTTTTAGTTTGTTTTTGTCAGTTTTCTTGATATGTGTGCCAGTACTTGCGGCCTTTCGTCGGGAAGAAAGTTTTAAAGTGAAGTCACATGACAAACTAAATTGATGAGTTCCATCTTGGGTGATCCTACTTTTTACCCAATAAACGGGGTAGGGGTGTAGTAACTAGGACTCGTTTCGTCTTATTATGCGCTTCAGGCTCTATGGGGTGGTTTTTCAGACAGGGCAAAGAAAGAAGAAGTTCTTCGTCATCAGAAGACGACCCTGGAACCATGTCGGAATATTGGCTGATATCGGCGCCGGGCGACAAGACCTGTCAGCAAACATGGGAGACAATGAATAATCTGACCAGTAAACAGAACTCACTCTGCGTCAATTACAAGTTTCACATTCCTGATTTAAAGGTCACACTCCTCTTTCAATCCCTTGTGTTTGTTTAAATAAGCAATTGGTTATTTTAGGTTGGTACCTTGGACCAGTTGGTCGGACTTTCTGATGATCTGGGCAAGTTGGACGCGTTCGTTGAGCAGGTGACCCGTAAAGTGGCTGCTTACCTAGGCGAAGTACTGGAAGACCAACGAGACAAACTGCACGAGAATCTAATGGCCAACAACAGTATGCTTTTTTATTTTTTTTTTGGTGTGCGGTTTGGTAACAAGCATGTTTTTTGGGATATTATTCTAAAATTAATGTGCGATTTACTGTTTCTTGACAATTCCTGGGGGAAAACAGTTTGAAAGTTATTGAGTGTTGGTCATTCCACAGGTTTCGGACGCCAGGTTAACTTTAAAATTATACGGTGCCGTCATAATTCCATCAAAAGAGTCAATACTGTCTGATATAATTATTGCCTTTTAAAATATTGCTCTAAAAGAGTAACTTAACCTATAAAACTTATTTGACTTGAAATAACTGTCTATATTTAATTATCTGAAACACATCTATTCTACAATACAAAACTTGCACATAAAAATAACATATCATTCTTCGACCTCAAAGTGTTCTTTAAAATTGTTTGCAGTATTGCCATGTTGACTACCAAATTACCGAACAGCCCTGCCTGTACAGAAACATGTATGCAGTGACCTAGAGTCCAAAACCTTTACACTGAAAATTTTTCTATAACAAAGAATGTGACGGATTTAATTTACAGGTTCCGTGTGTTGGCACTGTTGTCTCATAGAAATATAGTCGATAAATATTAACATACTTGATATGGGCATGCGTCACTACCCTAACACACATAATACACCACAGCATGATTTTTTTCGCCTTTTGCGCTACTCTATCATTTGTTACACTTATCCTTCCCTATATATATATATATATATATATATATATATATATATATATATATATATATATATATATATATATATATATATATATATATTTTGGTCGTTCCTAAACCCATTGAAACGGTTTCTTTGGTTTCGCGTTAACTGAAAGAATATTATGTGTGTTACGACTTCTCTCGAACGAGGTTGGATTTTGGTGTGGTTTGCTGGCACGTTTACATAGGGCGTCGCGAAATTAACTGTGTACATTTAAGTGCGCCGTCAGAGGACCCTGTAACTATGTCAATTTAGGTAGTAGCAGTTTGAGGTTATGGTCACGGACAAAATAAAATATTTCGATTATAGGAAGCCGTTTTAGTAAATTATTAAAACATGTACCCCGTGTAATTAACCACTAACCACAGCGCAAACAATTTTCACTAAATACTTGAAAACCATTTATTTAATGAAGAATTAGTAGAAGTATGAGCAATAGGCGACACAGTGTAATAATAAATTTTTTTGTTTTATTTTGAAAAATATTAATGTGTGGAAGTCGAAGATACCAACATTAAAGGACCACAGTATATATTATAATATAAACGAGAAAAAGTACACTTGCTCAGACTACTGGAAACATATATAGGTAAAACTTTTTAGAAGAAAACACTTTAAAGCCCATGACCACAGTATAATGATTCGATAGTTTGTAACTATTTCGTTGGGCGACAGTCGTTGCATCGCTCGCCTATTTAAATATACGCAGTCGATTCGATACGTGCCACCACCACCACCGGCAAGTTGGGGTTGTGAGGGAGAGGAGGTTATGTGTAACGACAATTAAAAGAAAACAAAACGTAAACCTGCCGCCCCCGCGCCAGAGCATAAAGTTTTGGCGTGCGTCGACAGATGGCGACGGCGTCGACGGCAAACGTCGCCGGCGGCGCGATAGGCCGCCGCGTCACGGTCGGCCGAGGGGGGCGGCGGCGCCGCGTCGCCGCCCCGCCGGCCTGCGTTCCCGCCTCGGGAGCTGCGGCGCCGCCCTTGACGGTTGTCTGGCGTTGTTGGGGGCAGGTGGTGGAAGGCCGCCCGACGACAGGGGCGGGGGCGTGAAGATGGCCGACGAGGGTGACGCAACCAGCTCTTCGGGGGTGTACGACGGCGAAGAAGAAGAAGGTGAAGAAGAAGATAAACCGCCTCCTCTACTTGACGAAGACGATCCCCATACGGACATGGAACACGAGGAGGACGGGGAGGAGGCGGTGGTGAACGAGCCCTCCCTTGTCAACGATGCGTGGGGGGCGCACCACAACCATCCGCTGGTCGGGCCAGGTCAGTCAGTGGTGGCCGTGTCGAGGGACCGAGCGAACGGGCTCCGAACCGCACCCTGCCTTTTCACGCTCTTTTTTTTTGTCGGCATATTTTGGTTTTTCTTTTTTTCTTTACGCCAAAGGGGGCTCACGGGCCCCAAGTTATTATTATTTGCTATTAGAATGAAAGCTATTTTACTATAATTATTAGTATTTATAGTCTTATTTCCGGTATCCTAAAAGGGTGCTGGCGAATGTTAGATCTACCAACATTAATGCTTATCCATCGTTTGTGACAGCAGTAAAAGTACGAATGGTTATATCGATAAAAATAACGTTTACTCATTTACATTCAAACGGGTGCCGAAGAAAACCAAAGAAACTCAACATGTCGGCTGCACTCGGTAAAACTGAGCTGATCGCGTACCGTTCAATAAACAAATGTCCTATGCATCAGTGGCGGATCGCTTATGACTTTAATAGTACTAACATATATGAATACTACTAACCTTACTACTAATGAGTTGATCGTTTCAATGTAGGCAGTCTTAACCTAAAAAGTTTCGCCCTTAGTCTATCACCGCATCCTAGAAATTAAATAGTGCCGGTCATACTGTTTCCGGTCCCCTTTGGCCATTTTATTTTTTTTTCTTTGTTTTAGTTTACGAAACTTTTCCGTTGTTGTTTTGATTTTCAGCAGTGTGTCGAGCGACAGGAAACGTCTTTTATATATACATATGAAAAAAAGAGAGAAAATAACCAGCGAGAGAGCCTTACAGAGTACACGTCACACACACATTACACCCTTTGTGTTGGCCTGAGTTTTGTCCTTGAATGCATCCCACTTACGGTTTTTATAGTTATTGTTTCGTTTTAGTTTTAGATGCGGCGTCCCGGGACGCTCGTTGTACGATTTATTTTTGTTATTTTATTTTATTCTATTTTTTATTTGGAAGCTTCGTCGCATATAAAAATGGTGGAAAAGACGTTTTGCAAACCTTCGGGCCTCGGAAAATTTCGGCATCTTGGTTCCTGTTAGGTGGCGGGGCACCGCTGCGCTTGCGTAGTTCGCGTCAGGGTTAGAGAGTTTAGCGTTGATGCATGCGCGCATAGGGGCCGCGCCTTTGGCGCAATTATAGTTTTCTATATTTTCAGTATCATTAGTTTGTTTTCGTTTGTTTTTATGTTTTATGTTGCGGATCGACGACGAGTGGCTCGAGCGGAAGGGGTAGTCCGATACGTTGTTTATATAACTGTCACCCGTGCAGGCTAATAATGTTCCGCGACACTAGCGTCGTTCCGTTGTTTTTTCTTTTACTGTTGAACCCTCTTACTAGGCCGTATAGTTTAGAGATATATAGTATGTACATCAAACCGCACATGACGTAGATTGCGCCTAAGTTCTGGCACAAACGACGACACACACGTTTCGGTCCCGTGGCCCCGCTGGAGCACCGATCTGGCCCGTCCGGCCGCGATTTTATTTTTGAAAATTTTGTCCCCACCAATTGTGACGAATGTGTTTTTGACATGAAAAAACGATTCTCTCGCAGAGTTGCCTGCCATCGGGGTGAGTATTATGGCGCCATTCATCGGCTTGTCCGGTCGGTTCGCCGGGTCATGCTTTCTCGCCGGGAGGCGTGGCCCGGCGCCGCACTCGTTTCCCGCTCTCACCGACGAAGTGCATGCGCCGTTTTTTTTTTAGGGGGGTGGGAAGAAGGGGCCACGATCTCCACGCATCTGGCAGGAATACCAACTTGCCGGCTTTTTAAAATTTTTTCTCTCTCGCTCAACTCGAGATATCGGATTTATGGGTTATCGTTTAATCTTTGCAAAAGTTTTTCCCCCAGCGCACCAGCAGAGTGTTTCGTCCGTTGTCCTTTTTTCGTTTTGTCGATTTGATTGAACCGCCCCTAGTGCGCGTTTACGAGGCTTTGCCCCCGTATATTTTCAATATATTTTTTGTTTACGCTTAAATACCTTATATTTCGGCGCACTAGTATAAAAAATATTTGGGCAAACGTGGACGCGTAGGGGCGGGATGTGCGTGCCATGAGACACGTGTGCCATATACGAACGGGAGTTTTGTTTTTCTAGGCGACTTGCCGAGCTACCTGACCCGGTTCCAGTGGGACATTGCCAAGTATCCGATCAAGCAGTCGCTGCGGAACATCGCCGACATTATTAGCAAGCAAGTCGGTCAAATCGAAAACGATTTGAAAACTAAATCGTCGGCGTACAATAACCTGAAGGGCAGCCTGCAGAGTTTGGAAAAAAAGCAGACGTACGTATAGTAGCAGAGATCGAAAATTATAGGCTTGAAGGTCCTATTTCTTAAAAAAGGGGGTACATAAAGTGGAGTTAAAAAACATTTGCTTCGTTGATGTCATAAGACGGTAAATATTTTTTCAAGCGTAAGTAGTTAACTAAACTCACTCGGGTAATGCGGCGTTGCCAATCCAATGAATTTAACTTCCTAGACAATTCAAACTTTTGCTGTTTGTACGCTCAATTATGGAAAGCGCACAAACCGCACCTTAAATCGTTTACAGAGGCAGCTTGTTGACGAGGAACCTCGCCGATCTGGTAAAAAAGGAGCACTTCATCCTAGACTCGGACTACTTGCAGACCCTGCTCGTTATTGTACCCAAGTAAGACACGGTTATCGGGATAGGTGGTGTGGTTTGTATCGCGGCGGTTCCAGGTCGCAATTCAACGAATGGAACGCCACGTACGAGAAAATCACGGACATGATCGTGCCGAGGTCGTCTCAGTTGATAGTACAGGACGGCGAGTATGGCCTGTTCACCGTCAGCCTCTTTAAGAAGGTGATCGACGAGTTTAAGCATCACGCGCGCGAGAAGAAGTTTATAGTGCGCGACTTTACGTACAACGAAGAAGAATTGGCGGCAGGGAAGAACGAGATCACAAAACTGGTTACCGACAAGAAGAAGCAGTTCGTAAGTTTACCTTAAGACTATATAATATAATAATATTGTCTTGTTAGACCTGTCAACTGTATTTTTAAGTTTTATTTCCCGAGGTTAGAAAAGTTTTCGTTCGATTGCCTTTCAATTGCCGTTTCTGATACAGAATCCGCAATCCAAATAAATAAGAACTAAAAGTTCACATTTTCACGAAATTATATATTATGACATGACAATTGTTTCGACAACACCGTGTCTTTATAAAAAAAAATCATTTGATAAAGACACGGTGTTGTCGAAACAATTGTCATGTCATAATATATAATTTCGTGAAAATCTGAACTTTTAGTTCTTATTTATTTTGATAAATGGATTTTCATCTAATAAAAGCCACCTCAGGTCAACGTAAAAATCCATTTAACTGTAGCAAACTTTAATTTTTTTTCTACCCCCGTCTGTAAAATACCTAGTTACCCACCGATCTAGCGTGCGGGAGGCGTCACTTTATCACGTCTGTTTCGTTTCCCACTAATCCGAGCCACTTTGGACATGTCTGGGATTTTACCGCACGGGTTTGGGAGCAATCGGATGATTTCGAAGATATTTCCTACGTCTTGAATTTGACGTTTCTCAACTCTGACGGCCATGTCAGTGAATGTATTCGTGTTGTTTTGAGAAAATTTACCGAAAACTAAGGGTCGTAGAAAGAGTATAGTATGCAATAAGTTAGGTAAACTTTTTAGGCCACTCGTTTATTAAACCCTCTTTCTGCTGCGCACCACTGGTTTACCGCACTTGTTGCATAATATACTATTTTCTACTCCCGTCTGTAAAATACCTAATTACCCACCGATCTAGCGTGCGGGAAGCGTCACTTTACCGCGTCATGAATCCGAGCCACTTCAGACATTTCCGGGATTTTACCACACGGATTTGGGAGCAATCGGATGTTTTCGGAGGTATTTCGGACGCTTTGAATTTTGACGTTTCTCAATTCTGACGGTCATGTCAGTGAATGTATTCGTATTGTTTTTTGCGAGAATGTACCCAAAAACTAACAGTCGTAGGAAAATTATAGTATGCAACACGTTCGGTCAGCTTTTTAACTCGCTCGTTTATTAAAAACTCGCTCCGCTCGTGTCAAATAAACTCTTGCATAATATACTATTTCATCAATATCATTTAGTGAGGTCTGAAAATAGTATTCCTGCCTGTATAAAAAAAAATCCATTTTATGTCCCTTGCCGAATCCGCATACATATCAACTGCTAACGCGAAAGAAGGTACAAACCAACTTACAAAATGCCACCTGATGAAGTACGCAGTAATATCTTTCTCTCTCTCACTTGTTTAGACTACATTGCGACAAGAATGACTATAGATTAAAGTTATGCAGGAAATAAGTGGTTGTGGCATCTCGTCGTGTTCATAGTGCAGAAGTCGATTTAACCAATCCAATCTAATCTTCTTCATGAATAATATTAGGTGTGAGAAGAGTATTCCTCCCCAATATTTCATATCATATGATATTTCATAAAGTTTCATTCCTTTTCATTTTGAAATTCCCTTCTATTCGCTAATTTCGAAAGGCTGTTTCTATTTTCTTTGACTTATTGTTACATCCGATTAAAATATTTTGAAAATCTCGATTTCCCTAATCGCCTGGCAGGGCCCGCTGGTTAGGTGGCTCAAGGTCAACTTCAGCGAGTGTTTCTGCGCGTGGATCCACGTCAAGGCTCTGCGCGTCTTCGTCGAGTCAGTACTCAGATACGGGCTGCCGGTCAACTTCCAGGCGATCCTGATCCACCCGCACAAAAAAACGATGAAGCGCCTGCGCGACGTGCTGAGCCAGCTGTACGGCCACCTGGACGGCAGCGTTGGTCATACGGGTGGCCACGTTGACGTGAGTACTGTCTGCGGTGCTCTGTTTAATGCGATTTCTGATTGACCGCGTCATTTTTCTAGAACGTCGACATTCCCGGTTTGGGCTTCGGTCAGTCGGAGTACTACCCCTACGTCTACTACAAGATTAATGTGGACATGATCGATTCGAAAGCCTAGTTCGTTCTTCGAGTTGGTCGTCAGTTTTCGTAAACCTTTAGGCAGTACACACAGTATAATAACATTTCGATTCGACGGTGCGCGGCGACGCATTTTCCGGGTAACTTTTTTTCTTTTGTCAGCGGTCCACATGGCGTGCCGCGTGAGCGGATTTTTTCCATCGGGCTGTGCATCACACCTTGCCGAATCGGTAGAAAAAATGTTTTTCGAAACCTAATTATTGTTAGGGACGTTAGAAACATTTTTTCCCAAAAGTGTTTGCCCATTTTTACATTTAAAAAAAAAGTTTTCCCCGGAAGATATTTTGCCTGCATTTTTTTTTTTTTTGGGGGGGGGTTAGGAGTTTGGTAGTAGGCGTTTTCGTCATGGCAACGAGGTGACGAGCGTTGACAATACCCTATGCATTATAATCTTAGCGTCGTTCACTCGTTAAAAAGTAAAATAGGAAAAAATGGGCTCGAATCGGGCGCCGAATCTTTATTCAATTTTATTTGCCCCAAGTAATTTTTTTTAGAGCATGTGCTGTCTGACGTCCCAAGTGCAAATGTTACCCTTCTTCCGATTGATTGATTAATTTTAATATTTTGATGTCAAATTGTTTATTGTAATAAATAAAACTTCCAAGATTTTGGGCGCCCCTTGAGTCCGCCTCCCCCCCTCATATAATCTTCTCCGCGCCGCCGATCGTTTTCCATTCGGACGTTTCCGGCAACAGTATTCAGCTCATTGTATATACATGTATATATGTGCAAAAAAAAAAAAAAAAAAAAAAAAAATATATATATATATATATATATATATATATATATATATATATATATATATATATATATATATATATATATATATATATATATATATATATATATATATATATATATATATATATATATATATATATATATATATATATATATATATATATATATATATATATATATATATATATATATATATATATATATATATATATATATATATATATATATATATTTGAAATTATTAGGGTCGTTTTTTGATGGCCGTAATATAAACGCATATTTTTGATTAGGTAGCGCGCGCCGCCTGGCGAGAAATCGTAGCAATTGTTGATTTAAAGCGTCGAAAGGAGTTGCAAGTTCCGAACATGTTTTAAATGTAATTTTGTTAGGTTATTAAAAAACTATTCCAGATTCGCAAACGCCTTTTGATGAACCTATGCCCAGCGGTAAATTAAAAATGTGTTCGTACAAGGTCTTGTAGAATTGACGTTTTAAGCTTGTGAGAAAAATACCCGTATCAAAATTTCCGCTTTTCTTTTTATTACTAATCGTTAAGTCGTTATTGCACTTTGCATACAAGATAATCCGATTTTTTGACAATAATCTCGCTCGGTATGACCAAAATAACTTTTTTAAATTCGAATTCGTTCCTCGCGGATATCAATTTAGTTTCCAGAGTTCGGTTCCAGATTTGAATTAATTAACTGTATACTGAATTACTTTTTTGTGTAAATAATCAATTTTGATTGAGAAGGGAGAAATAGAAAAAAATAAATTGTCGCCTAGAAGTTTATTTTCAATGCTCGATGAGATCCTACATGGTACCGAGCAATTTCCTGAGCTCTCGCCTCAATATTTTACCGCTCGCCGTTTTGGGTATGTCGTCGACGAACACGACGCCCCCGTGGAGGTGTTTTTCGTGGGAGAAGTTGTCTGAAATGAGCAACAAGAAAACTCGCAACCCCAACCTAAATTTGGAGTGCGTTCGGTTTACCTGACACAAAATCCAAGATGTCCTGTTCGGTAACTTTTTCGCCGGGCTGCTTGACGACGAAAGCAGTGGGTAGCTCGCCACACCTATCGTCCGGCTTCCCCACCACCCCGACATCTTTCACCCCATCATGTTTTATTATGAGCCGTTCGAGCTCGGCTGGTGCGACCTGCAACAAGTGATGCAAGCGAGGACGTACCACGGAAAAAATGGAACAAGTTTAGCAAAGGAATGGGAAAATGTATTTTTCGTTTTTCTTTTGCCTTACAGTTGGAACGAAAAATTAAAAATACTTATTTTACAGTTGCTACCAATTTTTTTTCAAAAACGCTAAATGCAAGAGTAAAAAATTTTAAGAAGGAAAAAACAAACAGTTCCAAAAAGCGACCGCTTTGTTCTTTGTTCAAATGTTGCTTATAGTTTTCTACACTTTAATTGTGTAGAAGTAAGCTAGTATTGGGTTAGATTTGGTTGGTTTGATTTGATAAAGAAAAGGGGATAAAGAAAAGGGGATGGAGCATATGCGTATTATTTAAAAAATACGTAAATGAGAGGGAGAGTGCAACTTGGCAACAATGGACTAAAATCAAACATTTGCCGCCTTTTTGATTTTAAGGGAATTCTAAATAATAAGGGAGGCAACTGTTTTTCTTTTTTAAAAATGAGAATAATCGGTTTTAGCACGTTCGAAATTTGAACAAATTGGGCTACGATGTATGTATACTTTTTCATCTTTATTTATCTGCCTGCTGGACTGGGATAGTTGAAAGAAGACAATCGAACCGAATTTAGTTAATTCCATTTTATGACATATTGAAGGAAAATTGCTTAAACCAAAACAACGGTAAATTGAAAGGTAGGTTTTTTTATAGTAAAATAAAATGCGTAGTGTTTTAATCGTTTTAGGATTTTTTTTCCGACAATTCGGTTTTCTTTTCATTATATAATATGTAGTACACATATGGTAGGTATTGGTTTAGTTAACATTGGAAAAGGGATGGAAAAATTAAGAAAATGACTTTTGATGCCTGTAAAGTTCATTTACAGGTTGAGTTAAAACCAGAGGGAAATCTAGAAAATGAAAATGAATTAAAAAAACACCACGTTTAAGAGTTTCGCTTAAGAGACAGAGAATCACCCTGTATAATTTGATTAAGTCTGTTATAGGGAGTCTAAATTCGTTGGTAGTTTTGTCCGTTGCGTGTCGCTTGAAATTTTCTTCTTCTCTTACCTGGAAAGCTTTGTATTTGATCAGTTCTTTGATCCTATCTACCACATAAATGTAGCCGTCGGCGTCAAAATAACCGACGTCGCCCGAATGCAGGAACCCCGAGGCGTCGATGCAGTTCTTGGTTTCGGCCTCGTTTTTCATGTACCCCTTCATGACTGGTGGACCTGAAAATTTCCCGACCCCATCGCACTTGCCGCCTTTTCTTATATTAATGACTCTACCTTTGAAGCATATTTCGCCCCTTTGATTCGGTCCTAAAGTTAGGTTGGTCTCTGGGTCCACGATTTTCACGATTAGGCCTCCGCCGAATGGTTTTCCCACACTGCCGAACCGCGCCTCGTTGGGGGGCACCGTGGTCACCGCTCCTGTCACTTCCGTCATACCGTAGATCTGGCGCACTTTGACGTTTTTTAATCTAGAAAAAAAAAACCTCAGATTATATGCCAATGATACTTCTCGAGACGTTGCACAAAAATAGGATGGATTTTGGGGATAAATATAAGAAGAAATAGAAGATTTTTTAAATAATATGTTTTACCAGTGGATTGAATACTACATGTACTAAATCTGTACTGAGGTGTAAATTGTGTAATTTTCACTATCTATAAAGATAAAAAACAAATATTATTTTTGTTATTTAATCAATTTATTGTAAAAAAAAAATAAAAAAGTTCCAATGTTGGATCTACGTACTTCCAAATTGGGAGCATTCGTAAATATTAAGTTATGTTTAGACTTCGATTTCGACGTTTTACGGGTTCTACTTAGCGTTGTTCTTTCTCTAACCAAAACCAACCTCTTGGTGACCTCGACTTCGACCTCTTTGCCAGCCGGTGCTCCTCCGCAGAGGACGTGGTTCAATGAAGTCAAATCGTACGACTGGACAGACGGGCTTTTCGCAAGAAACTGCAAGATTGGAGGCACAACAAACAACTTGGTCACCCTGTGGTTCTGAATCGTCTTCAAGAACTCTTCCGGTTTAAACTTGTTGCACATCAGCAGCTGCTTCCCGTTCGAAACAACTCCTATGAATATCATGATACCCAGTATGTGGAAAAGAGGCAGGTAGAGGATCGTCACCGTTTCGGGGTTGACATCCATCGCATAGGGATCTCTGAAAATATATATTTACGCAGGCGTCATTACATAAACTTTTTACACATTCATTGCTCAAGAAGGTGTTAATCTTTAGCCGTAATTTTGCTTAACTTTAAGAGGTATGCACGCATAAAATACACTATGATTTTTAAACTTTGCATTTACTAATGTTGTTTTGACGTTGGACATTGGTAAGAAAGCGACGAAAGGCCACGAAAAATAAAATATAGGTCTTAGTTTAATAAAGCAATTTTTTGAAGAATAAGTCAGAATTTCTGGAAAAAAAGTCAGAATTTTCGGAAAGGAAGTCAGAATTTCTACAAAATAAGTCAGATAGTCCGGAAAAAAAATCAGAATTTCTGCAAAATAAGTCAGAATTTCGGACCCAACTCATCAAAACATAAATATACAGGGTCGTTCATAAAGAATGGGCAATCTTCAAACTAGACGCAATATATTATTATAACAAGCCTCATACAAAATGGTTTCAGAGACCGATTTAAGTGTAACTTTAATAAAATTTGTTTGAGCAAAAATTATTATGTTATGGCATTTTGTGATTATTAACCAAAATTTAATGACATGCGAATTTGATAAATTGCTCTCAAACCGGTGCGGTAATAGCCAGGAAAAGTCCGAAGGGGCTCGGATCTGTGGGACAAGAAACTCGCGTGATAAAGTGATGTTTTCCGCACGCTAGATCGGTGTTTAATTAGGTATTTTACAGAAGGGACTAGAAAAAATGTATTGACTTATATATGGGGCAATTATAAAATTTGATTGATTAATTTTTTATTTCTCTCCATAGCTTTTCATAATTTATGTATCTATAGAAAAACGAAATAATAACATGAACTTGACATAGATGGCCTAAACAACATTACCTTTTCTATTTTCATCATGTTTCAACCATAACTCGAAAGATAAAAAATTTTTAATTCGATTTATCTAAAGAAAATGGTGAAACGAACGCCGTCTAAGAGCAACGTCCAAATCAGTTTCAAATTCATGATTTTCATATCAAAAACCTATTATGATTTTTTTTTATTTATTTTTGTTTTTGGTTAGCGCCTTTGTACATCGGTGACAGTTACGACTTGTGAAATTGCCAGATATTAAAGAATACTATTCGAATGATTTTTGAAGATTTTGCTCCACATACGTCAGATACTTAGTGGCGTATTTCAGATTATCATGGGTCAACATCACAGCCTTGGGGAAGCCGGTAGTGCCGGAAGAAGACAATATGCAAGCGACAGTCTCCTTGACGTTGAATTGTTTGTGCCTGTAGGTACTGTAGTCCATCTTGCTGTGGAACAGCAAGTCAGAGAACCCCAAGAGACCGTTTTCGGTCTGTTTGTCGTAGAGGACGATGCGTTCAATCGAGCTGACACTGTCGTCAATCATGTCCAGCTTGTTGGTCGTCGTAAATAGGATCTTCGGCTCTTTGATGCGCAACGAGTGGTACAGTTCGCCTGGAATCATGCGAGCAAGTAATAGTTTTCCTTTTGATATTGTCTATGTCTAGATAATAAAACAGGCAACATGAAAAAATGTTGAGAATTGGCTTCTGATATGCGCAAAGTCGAATCATTTCAAAACTCGCTTTCAAGCATTTAAGACCTTATTGCGTCGTTTAACAATCAATATGGAGGCTAACAATTCGTCAATTCAACAGTTTTCAGTTTCTATATGGCAGTATTTTGCCAAATAAACCTGGATATTTTCAGAGAAAAACGAGTTAAGCGTGTTGAGATCGATGTCTCGAAAGAAAATGACGCAAAGTGTGTGAAACTTGGAGCCATGCGCGTATGAAAATAACACGGATCTAAGGCGCATCAAGTGTTAAGGCATTTACTTACTGCCTTTACATTATCAAACTTTGAAACCAGAGATATATAAATATAAGACCATAGAATAAAAATGGGTAGGCCTCGTTGACTTGTACGGAAAAACTTCTCCTGACGCTATCACGCCTTGTTACCACAGTTTAATGTTAACAAAATCGACCTCAAAAGCAGAACGTAAAATTGAACTTGTCGCTTTAATTTCGCGATCAAATTGTTTTCATTGTTAATGTTTTGTTTAATTGCGACATTTCCAAGAGCAATAATGGGGAGTACTTAATTAATTTAATGAAGTATAACGTTGTAAATGTTTATTTTTCATGGTCCATCGTTTGTTCATACGCGAAATTCAACTTTTCGTGTTGGCACTTAAAGCAGTTCACTTCCCACATGCGCATAAATTCTACATACCTTCTGGCATATTTTTAACAATGATATCCCCACATCCAACTTGTGTTTTCATAAAGAAAAAAACGGAAAAAATGCGAAACCAAAGTGGAAACTGTCAGCGACCATTTTGATATTTCTTATCCAAATTAATATATAAAAACACAGCTGTAATATTATTAATTGTGATATCTGATTTAAAAAATTAGGTGGTTTCGGTTCGCTATGCAAGCTGATAGACAAGTTCCAGTTTTTTTTCTCATATGCAACCAATGAGCAGTCACTGAGGAACATTTTATTTAGGGTGAGACGAGTAGTTATTTCTGGGGAATGTTTTCTTTGACATATATGTTTTCTTTGAATACTAATGGGTAGGTGTAACTGTAATGAGATATTACTTCATATTTATTTTTGGGGATAAACTCTTTGTTAACAGGCGTATTCATTTCAATCATTTATCCTTCTTTGAACTAAGTGGTTATAATCTCTTTTGACTAGCGACCGTGTTAATTATTTTAAAAAATAAACAGCGAAATAATTATGTTGCGTGTTGTTGAAGTAAAAACGGTGATTCACGTTGTGTCACGATTAGAAGTTCTGGAGAACTAACTAGATTTTTTTCTTCGAACTTAGCATATGGCTATATATTTTTGAAAGATTTACGTATTTACGTACGTATTTTTTTGTGTAGAAAGGCTCAGCTTAATTAAAGCTTAATAGCTTTGCCCAAGTGAACAAACTATTTCAAAATTTTAGAGGGATTAGTTGAAACATTTGTTCGAATGACTTTGATAGTAAGTTACACAGTGTGTCCGAGAAATTTACATATCTGAAAAAAATTGGAAACAGAAAAATCTCTCTTTTTTTAATTGCATCCCTATATATTTGACAAAATTCAATAATTTATCTACAAAATCTCCATACACGTCCTCATACTCATCGGCAACCTTTTGTTAAATTTGAGCTAATAAGGAATCTTCATGGTTTGAGTATTCATTTGCATTTTACATTTTTAGTGTTGTTTTTCCGTGCTTTGTTATTTCAAATAGAGAGCCATAACCCATATAGATAAATTATTTTTTAGGGAAACCTTCTTTTTCTACTCCTTTGTGTAAAATACTTAATTATACACCGAGCTAGCGTGCGGGTTTGAACACTTGAATTTTGACGTTTGTTATTTCTGACTGTCATGTCGTGTTCGTGTTGTTTTGCAAAAATGTACCCAAAAACTAACGGTCATAGAAAACGCATAGTATGCAATACGTTTAGTAAACTTTCAAAGTCTGTCGTCTCTCATTTATTAAACACCGCTCCACTGCGCTCCCCTCGTGCTAAATAAACTTGTGACTCAAATGAAGATTTTTAAAAGAAGTCTTCATTCACTCAAATTCAAGAAGCGGTTACCGATGGGTATAGGGACACGTGTAGAGTATTTGTAGTTAAACTATTAAAGGTCTTAACGATAATGTGAAATATGTAGAACTGCATTTTTTAAAAATGAGTTTTTGCTGTTACTAATTTTTTTCAGAAATCTAAATTTTGGTCATTCAAATAAAGGTATTAGTTACCCTCTGTATAATTTTGAAATAGCTAGTTCACTTATGTATTTTCAAAAAACGGTATTTTTGAGCAAATATATTTTTTTCTTTACCACGTCAGCTTCGTTTCCCATGAATCCGAGCCACTTCGGACATTTCCGAGATTTTACCGCACGGATTTGGGAGCAATCGGATGTTTTCGGAGACATTTCCCACGCTTTGAATTTTGGCGTTTGTCAATTCTGACGGTCATGTCAGTCAATGTATTCTTGTTGTCTTGCGATTATGTACCGAAAAACTAACTTTCTTAGAAAAAGTATAATATGCAACACGTTCGGTAAACTTTTTAACTCACTCGTTTATTAAAAACTCGCTCCGCTCGTATCAAATAAACTCGTGAGTCAAATGCCCTTTACCGCACTTGTTGCATAATATACTATTGATTTAAATTTGAAAAAAAAATTTAGTAGTAGGCAGAAAACCGTTTCTTTTTTGCGTAACTATTTATTATTTACACCTATTGCATATGACATGGTCTGGTTTTTATTTATTTATTTTATTTTATTTTTAAATTTTTCCCTTTATCAAGAAATAAAAATATCAGATATTTTCCGGTCAGTAAATTTTCTTTTAATCATACAAACACTTGAATATTTTGAATTTCAAAGGATATCATTTTGTAAGTGCTTTACTCGAAGGTTTTTTTAAATGTAAGATTATTAAAATGTTAAAGAAAATATCTTCTTTTATTACATATTATGTCATTAGACTGAATTAAAAGACCATAGTCAAATACAATTTCTCATACGAGGGATACATTAATGCTCGTTTTCATTGGGTAAGCTATGAAAACTCCGCACTCACTTTTGATAAAATTGGGGTTGATGAAAGCGACGGAGGCACCCAAGTTCCACGCGGCCAAGAGAAGGACTGCGCTCTGCCAGCAGTTTTCCGCAAATACACCCACTATATCGCTCTCCTTCACCCCCAGGTTCTCCAGGTTCAAGGTCAAGTTGACGGAATACTGGAGGAAATCACGGTGCGTCAGGCTTACCCCGTTGGACAGGTCGACCTGTGAACATACTCTCACCAATGCTTACGTCCCTCCCTCAAGCCCTCACGGCAGGGGCGGCTCGTGCCGTAAGGAATATTCGTTATCAGCGAACATTAATTTTGCGATACCTATTTAAACAGAGTAGCTTGGGGCTTAGTAGAACACTAACACTAATGGAAAATTATTAATAAAGCTAAAAATATACGATAATTCTTGGTTTTTACTGAGAATGATGAAAGTTTGTGGCCTTTTTCTGAAAATTCGAACACTGTGTGCTAAACTTTCTAATTTATCCAAATTTAAATATTAATTATGGAAAACCACCAAGGAAATGAAAGATAAAAATCCAAGGCACGGTTTTGTTGGTTCGTCTAAAAATTATTTATATCAAACATTTTTATTTGAAACATTTCATTTAATCTGCAATATTAAGTTATGTTAATTTACATATATTTATCATTTTTATTAATAAGTATGTAGTAACGAAGAGAAAAAGAAAAAAAGCTAAAAAGAACATTATATATTAATAAAAACTTTTTTTTTCAGTCATTCAATAAGAATAGAATCGTACAAACGAAACTAAATTACGTTGAAAAATATGGAGAAATAAAGAAAATAACCCTTAAAACTTTTTTTTTAAACCTTAATGCATAACTTTTTATCGATTCTTTTTCCGCTTGTCGTGCAACACTCACCAAAAATTCGAAATTCTTGTCCGGTTTCGAGTCGAGTTTCCGGAAAAAGTACTCGCCCAATGGCGCTTGCTCCAATACGTTCGTCTCGTCGGGGCCTATCATCGCGCTTGCGCAGTGTGAAACTATCCTAGGATAATGAAAAAAAAGCAACCCGCCAGTGCCGCACGTTGAAGTACTAATGGTGGAAGCCGCGAGGATTCCCCACCCTCCGCGATAATTTGGCGACAATAACAATAATTGTCGACGGTCTGTTGTAAGGTTAAAGTCGAGGAAAAAATTAAAGTTTCTTGTAAAACGCAAAAAGCTACATCGCGATTGTTTTATACGAGTGTAGCGCGAAAATATTTGACCCCGGCGGTATAACATTTTATCTCAAACGCATATTGGGACCACACACCTTTTACTGGGTTCCAAATTGTAATCACGTGTGCCCAACCGACCGCTATGCTCGTCTATGATCAGTCGTTTGACATTTCGAAGCTATGTATTTAGCAGTTGGAGTTTTGGGATTTGTCGAGTGTTATACTGTTAGACTAAAAGTTAGCGAGGCGTTTTACGCTGCTTGGTGTATCACTCTATCACGGTAAAATGTTCGAGTATACCCGAATGAAGTGACATAACTACACCCAAAAATTGGAAATCATTATCGTGTTGTGTTAATATTGAGTTCTAAACGTAAATATGAACATATTATAACAGTTTATAAAGCAAGCTATAAATCAAATGAGCAACACCCTGTAGTTTTAAAGAATATGGCCAGACGTTTTGGTGGTCGCCGGGTTTTTCTACGTTTAATTATATTATACGTTCGTATACAATTAAAAGTCGAGTCTGTTTTCATCACACGAGTGTCGTTTATCGAAAATAAGAACACAAGTGTAAAACCGAATGCGGCGAAATTATTTACGCAAATTGAATCGTAAGCAAAGTTGTAGACTGAGTAATCCGAAGCGGCCGGGTCGTCTGTTCGTCGATCGTTGTAATTAATCGGAACTTGTGGCCGTCTCATCGACTTTGTAACAACCGAAAACGAGACAATGCGTTTATGTTCCTTTCAAAATAATTAGAACTTTTGCGTCAATATGCGAAGCGGACGGTGTAATTATTTTGCCATGCTGATACTTATCGTGCCATCTATCCCTTCTTCTGAAGGTTATCGCCGTGTTAACGAAACAGAAAAATAGATGGCTCTCGCACGCGCACCGTTATGGGATGTGTTGTTGCCGGATTTATTTTTGGTTTGAAGCAACTATTTAACAATATTGGAGAAGGTCTACGCGCATGCGTGATATTTAAAAATCTCGTTTTTAACCATTGGAGTGTGAAGGGCGTGTGGAGATCGCTGAAAATGTCGCGAAATGCAGGTTAGTGAACATTCGCGGAAGATCAGTCCCATCTGTACGAAAATTTCATAGCCACCTAAGATGCATCAATTTTTATCCCACATAGCACACAATACCCCAGTATATCCGATCAATGTCCCATTTAAGTCGCATGTCCCTGGACATGTGCAGGATATTATTAGGATATATGTTAGCATATATACTAAGGATATCAAAAATAAATAGGACGTAATAAATAAAGTAAAGAAATATAATTTTTCTACTCCCGTCTGTAAAATATCTTATTATGCACCGATCTAGCGTGCGGGAAGCGTCACTTGACCACGTCAGTTTCGTTTCCCACGAATTCGAGCCACTTCGGACATTTCCGGGATTTTATCGCACGGGTTTGGGAGCAATCGGATGTTTTTGGAGATATTTCCCACGCTTTGAATATTGACGTTTGTCAATTCTGACAGTCATGTCAGTGAATGTATTCGTGTTTTGCGAAAATGTACCCAAAAACTAACGGTCGTAGAAAAATTATATATTATGAATTTATTCGTGTTTTGCGAAAATGTACCCAAAAACTAACGGTCGTAGAAAAATTATAGTATGCAACACGTTCGGTAAACTTTTTAACTCACTCGTTTGTTAAACACTCGCTCCGCTCGTGACAAATAAACTCGTGAGTCAAATGCCGTTTACCGCACTTGTTGCATAATATACTATTAATAAAATACATATTGTGGTGATTGCTCAGTTGATACTTTTTTTTAAATGATTTCTGTACCGAGTTAAGAGAAAACTGACTTTTTTGTAACCTATATTACCTATAATATACGTTTTAGATTACATATCTTTTTTGATTCTAGACTTCTTTTCGTATCTTATTGCTTAGTTTTTGAAAACAAAAATAAAATCCACTTTCTATTCACGTTTTTTGAGTAGTTAATTTAGGGATACAAAACTAAACTAATTTTTTATTTAAGTAAACAATGTTAGAGAAAATCCCCCAGAACAAAATTATATTTTTAGTTATATAGTATAGTTAGTATATTTTTTTCTTAAAATGGATGCAAGACTCAGCCCCCAAAAACAAAGTATTAATTTTAAAAATCACCCTGCATAAAGTACAATTCTCACATTAAAATGGTCGTCGGATTAATTCATAAAAACGTTTTTCCTATTTTTTAATTTTTGTTTTCATAGTGACCATAGGTACCATCACGAGCAAAAAAAACTAGGAACATTTCAAAATGTCAAACTGAAAAGTCGTATTTGTTCCAGTTTTGGTTAGTTCTGGTATTTGTTCCAGTTTTTTTTGCCGGCAATAGTACCTACTCTCATGAAAGAGGTCTTACCGATGAGAGTTTAATGAGGTTTTTATTTAATCAAATGAAATACATAAATGTATACCGACATCATCTTGGCGATTAGCATCTAAGATCACTTTCATGAGACTACTATCAACCTCAAATCAAGCGTTTACGTAAAAAGTGGGTGTAGGGATTTTTTACACCTGATTTTTAAACATATAAGATACCAGTCTCGTTCTTTTTATTTTTTATATAAAACCTGTGTTTCTCAAAACTAAAATATTTTCAGATGCGGCAAAGACATCACAAATATCAAAAGAATGTGAGAATTCCATTGCTGCTTTGCTAAAAAGAGGTACTCTCAGCGAAGAATAACAGAAAACCTGTCAAATATTAGTTATTCTATTAGAGTTTAGTTCAAGATAGTATCTTACTCGATATTTAAGATACTTTAGATTAGGTTGTTTTATATTTTTGCTATATTATATACCTAAAATTTTTTCATGCCTACAATAAAAAAAGTGTATAAAATGTGTTTTATTAAAGGTATCAAACAGCAGTCCTTCACTTTTAACATCAAAAGCAGCAGTGATGACCATGCCCAATGGGTTAATTCCATCACACGCGAGTACCAAATACTCGGATAGAATTTTTGTAGCCGCACAACCAAACTAACTACTTGACATTACCTTTCCAGTATTTTTCATAGGCTGTTGGAAATAACCTATTAAGTAAGGTCTACTGGTATATCTATATAAGATCCTATATCCGAACAGTCGGATATACTAACGACGTCTCAACTGGATATTCTTAGTATGTCCTTAATATGTCCTAACAAACATCCTACGGACATACGCGTCTGATATATTGTGGATGTTCCAGTAACATCGTGCTTATCATACTATAGTTTTGCAAACGATCCGAACGTGTAGTTGTGCAGATTTTGCAATTTTTTCTGGATAATCAGGTTCAGAATCACCTTTTCGTCAGGAAACTCCGAAAAATGGGACGTTTAAAATTGTTTAAACAGTTTAATGGATGAATGTTATAAATTACAATTTTGCTTCAAGTTGGACTTGTCCCACGTGAGATTCAAGCAAATCCCTCAGCTGCCTACGTAGAATTTTGCCGCTGGGATTCTTCGGTATGGCCGATACGAACACAACCCCACCGGATAACCTCTTTTGGGGAGAGACCAAGTCTGCAACGTAATCCCTCAATTCCTTTTCCGACACTTCCTCTCCCTCCTTCTTGACGACAAACGCGAGCGGACGTTCACCGACTAGTTCGTCGGGTACCCCCACCACTCCCGCGTCGAGAACCTTCGGGTGGTTGACGATCAGGGCCTCGAGCTCGGCCGGAGCCACCTTTATTTTTTTATATGTTATACTCAGGGCGTTTTAAAAAGACAAGTTTTCCTTGAATTTAAGTGATTCTTTAAAATGTACCGATTCCAAGATATGGGCCGTTGTTTTTTTTTTTTATTATTTCTAGATCCTGCAAAAAGACTTTTAGTCCTTTTTGTTACGCAAGCAACGCTGCCAAAATTTACAAAACTTTTTTTTTTAATTAGCATTCCCTCAAATCAATCAACCGGCCAAAATTATTTCTGGAGAATTGCATTCAGCAGTTACCCACCTGGAACCCTTTGTACTTGATCAGCTCCTTTAGTCTGTCGATGACGTAAATGTAATGTTTTTCGTCGTAATAGCCGATGTCGCCTGTTCTCAGCCATCCGTCAGAGGTGAAGCTCTCCTTAGTGGCCTCTTCGTTTTCATAGTAACCCAGCATCACCAGTAAACCCTGCCGTCAAGTTTGCGACATTTAAATTATCAGGGAATTTTTCTTTTAATTAGGGCGCCAAGACATAAAACGCAATGCTTAACATGTTTAATTTCTATCACGCACGTCGCACTGACTGGAAATGAAATCATTACATGGATATCGATAATAGACACAACCGGATTTAAAAGTAAACATTCTCTGTTATGAATTACACATCATATTCCAGTTCGTAGCATATAAAACCAGATCTTTTTGGAATTAGTTTATTTCGATTTTAAGTCCGTCCGTCAGATAAAAACATGTTTTCAAAGAGTGAGTCGTGCCAAGTTACAAATGAAGGTAGAGTTCTCCAAACAATATACCGTTTTTACCATCTTTTATGGTTCTGACTTAGGAATGAGTTTAAAATCCGCCTGTTGTAAAGCGAAAGGGAATATTCTTTTCAGCACGTGCCCCACAAGCCAGGGCCGTATTTAAAATGTTAGCCGACAACAACTGTGCCGTGGGCATTGTTGTATTTTAACAGCAGAGAAATTTTCTTTGATTAAACTATTATATTAATTCTAATTTCTAAAACAGTCCCTACTTGAGGTAGCTCGATTTCAAATTGAATTTGCCCATGATCTTCTATATTTAAAACACATTAGAAAGCTTGAACTGATTACCAATTCAAGGGTTTAACATAATGACTCTAAACTATTTTCCTAGGAAAGCAATACAAAACCTTATGTAGATTAGTGATTTATAATGGATGTTTTCCCAGTTTGCTATTGGTTGATTTGTGGGAGTTGGTGAAATCGGAGTGTGCTGACAGTTTAATGAAACAATTTTTTCTTAGCCGTCGAAGCTTTGGGTTCGTTATTAGTAATTACCAACTTACTGTTATTTAATTATTTTTCAAGACTCAGTGTGATATTTTTATTGAGGTAAAGTCTGTTCATAGATATAAGAAAGTAACTAACTGATACGAATTAAGGAAATACCCGGGCAAGCTGTAAGAATGAAATATGGCCGAAAAGATCCGTACATTGCTACTAAAGATAAAGATACTAAACAATATTTATTTATTTATGTATGTATTTATGTTTAAATCTAAAAAACATGAATATAAATGTCGTTATTATACATGTTGTTTTGGATTGTTGCTTTTGTGTCACATGAGGAGGGGTTTTAGTCAACTGCCTATTGTGATAACTTGCATTGTCCATTACAATGACGCTATTAGGAGGAATGTTTGGAACTAGTTTGTTTTTAAACCAACTTTCAAATAAATCAGCGGTGAAGAATCTTTAATATTTTTCGCAGACAGAGAAAGTCCATTTGGAATCCAACCATCTTTATAGCCAGCATGCAAAATAGTTCTTCTTTTACCTCTTTTTGATGGCGCGTTTGTTTTACACTTATCAGTCAACCCAACCCTTTTCCGGGGTATCATAAGTGTCGAACCAAGTTTTATCTAAGTAAATAATTGGCCTTTGTTGTTCTCTGTAAATCCTAATTTTTTCTAGATATTCCAGTCGCCATTTCCGAATTCAAAAAGATTCCGTTATAACTTGGCTTTGGTAATTTTGTTTAAATCTAAAACCCATGTGCCATATTCTTCTGCCACACTTAACAACGGTTTCATCTTTTCCAAGCCTCCTAATTAAGATATCTAATGTAGGCACGCTTTTTTTCTCATATAACTGGTAAATTTTACGCCGTATTATATCTTGATCACTTTCATCTACACTCGAGAAAATGTCAGCATCGCTTCTTTTTTTCCTCGCTGAAATGGGATTAATCACAATTTTCCATATAGTTGATGTTGGAATTATCGTCAATGTGGCCGTTTCTTCTAAAGATGCTTGCTTGCTGGCACCAAGTTCAATGAGAGTCAAATAAACATTGTTTATAACATCCTTAGTCTCAATAGGATAGTGTTTTCTACATTTGGGCGGGAGCATCTCCTGAGACACACTAGGCTCGCATATATTTTGCATAATTCGCACACGATTCAACACACGCTGTATTATACAGGAAATAAGAATGATTACTAATAAACATAAACTAAGTAATATACCAAACTAAAGAATATTAAACACAGGTAGGTATAAAATTATTTTCTATTACGGACCACAATTTTACTTGAATTTAAATTCCGAAACTTTAAGTAATAATCTTGTTGCATTGTATGTTAATGACCATCCTCGGATAATCCCATTCAAAAGCAATTGGTCACTTTCTTATATCTATGAACAGACCATACCATATAAATTTTATTACAATTTATCCAATCCAATCTATTAAATCCGTCAGATTTCAGCATTTGCTTGCACGAAGTACCGAAGTACGGTTCTGGAACATCACTGTGGAATTGCGAATCTATTTATTGAGGGTTACAAAGAGAAACCCAAACGAGGTAGGTCTGCCGTTAGACCTTCATAAAAATTTACCAAAGTTAAATACCGGATTATGTCGTAAAGACGGTATATCGTTTGAAAACTCTAGACTCGTGGTAGACTCCGTTCACTCACCTTTAGGCATATTTCGCCCACCTGATTGGGCCCGAGAGATCGTCCGGTCTCCGGATCTTTGACGGTGAACTTCATGTAGCTCATAATTTGACCGCAAGATCCGTGATGCGTCTTGTCGTGTGTGATGAGGCATACCGCCATGGTCGCTTCCGTCAGGCCGTAGCCTTGCCTGACTATAGGGTTGTCGAACCTAAAAATGCGGGAGTAAAACTAAATCCGAGAGTTCATAATATTTCCCGTTTTTGAAATCGATAGAGCCATCTCAAATGTTTCCGTGGATGAGATTCCTTACGGCCCCATTATTTTATTTGTATCTGGAACTCGGCAAACTTAAATGCGAAAACAGGCCGCAAAATTTTGCAATGTCTGGAGCTCTCTGTTTTTGGCTGCTATCATAGTAATGTTTTTGAATATTGGTAAAGACAATAGAAATAACTCGAAAGTAACGCAATGTTCGAATAAAAGAGGAGAAAACTTTTAAATAGGATTAACGTTTATCTACAAGTTTCAAAACTTCTTGACGCGACTGCTGAATTTACCGTTTTTTCAGCTCGAACTCGATCAACTCGCTGAGTGGCGCAGCCCCGCACGTCAGCTGCCTAACGCTCGAAACGTCATACCGCTCAAGCTTCGGCGTCTTGGCCAGGAATATGGCCATAGGCGGTGCCAAATATAGATAACGTATCTTGTGATCCTGGATGGTTCTGAGGTAGACGTCTTCGTCGAAACGTCGGAGCACCACGACGGTTTTGTGGTCAAGCAGGGACTCAAGTGTGGTCAGGAAGCCGAACGCGTGGAACATGGGCAACACCCCTAGAGTGGTATTTCCCTCGCCCGTGTGGTAACGGGGATCTCTGTTTCCATAAAAAAAGATAATAATAAACAGGAAGCATAAATTTTATCAAGCTTTGCGAAAGTTCAGGTGCGGAAATACGACACTCGACTCAATTGCTTAACGATCTACGTTTCGAATATCGAAGATTAAGACGTTTCATACCTTGAGTGCGTGATCCGAAGCATTATATTCCTGTGCGACAGCATAACGCCTTTAGGTAAACCGGTAGTGCCCGACGAGCACAGTATATAAGCGATCAGCCGGCTGGAGTCACCGTCTAACGGTTTGAACTGGAAACTTTGGACGTCCGCTCCTGCAAGAGCGGCATCCACGAAGTCCCTCAAGCGTTCCGTGCCTGTGACAACTCTGTCGCTGCCTATCAATATCAGTTTTTCAATGAAACCGAGCCGGTTCTTCATGTCGACTAGTTTTGGGGCGGTCCCTTCCGTGCAAAACACCACTCGAGGTCTACTAATGCTCAAAGTGTGGGCGAGCTCATGGGGCGTGTAGCCGGGGTTGATGGTGGCCGTTATCGAGAGGTTGTATGCGGCCGCGAATACTGGCACGTAGAAATGGAGGTTGTTTTCGCTGCATATAGCCATTACGGTCGTTTGGCCCACGTATCCATTGCGTCTGAGTGCTTCCGCCAAGTTGAAGCTCTGCTGCGTGATTTCTCCGTACGTGATTCGGGAATTCGTGAACGCGTCGATCTAAAAATAGTTGATTTTTTTTCGATTAGATTAAAGTGGTGTGCGAGTGCCTATGGACTTGCCCAACGCCAATTTAGAAGTGTCGCCTAGACATTTTTGTAGAGACAGGAATGATCTAAATTTCACCCACTATTTTAATGGGTTCTGGACATATTTAAAGAAAATATTCATGATTTATCAGCGGCCCTGCTGGTTTGTTGAATGCCGCGAGGTCATCGGGTTAAAACGAGATTTTAATCTCATGCATGTAAATGTTGAACGAACCTTCTTAATTTTTTTTTCATAATTGTTTCATAAATTCTTATATTACTAGCATAGACAGGACCTCTATGTCTCTAGAAGGTATATATAAAAAAAACCGATCGTACATAGCATTATTTTTATTCCGTTTAGTTTGTATCTCGTCGGTCCCGACGGAGAATATTGACTTTGTTTTTAATGGTGCATTTGGATTTTACAAGAGTGGTAAGCCTTTTAAATTTCGCCAAATTTAGCAAAACTAAAACGTAAAGACCTTTTTAGATAATAATATACGACAACAACCCACTGCAATTTTAAAAGTTTTAACGGTACGGTTAGGTTCTCCGCCCCCCCCTCCCTTTTTCGTTTTGTGGAGAACTTGTTTTTCAAGTTTGAGATTGTGTATATTCAATTTCTCTTGGGTATTCAGTCTCTCGAAAACAAATAATGTGATTCTTCTAAATATTTATTAACGTTTCGATCGTAATTGGGGGAAGTTGGTTGTAAATCACCCTCAAAATTTAAGCGAGAAAGAGCGGCAAGAAAACGGTAGGACATACAACACCCGAAACGGTTATCACCCACCTTGTTGGTTTCCCGCGTCGTCGACTGCCCGACCGGGTCTTCTTAGGGAGGGGGGTGGTAAGGACCACAACACAGCGCGGGGTTCTCGCGAACCGGTTACAGCAGAGACCTTGTTTTTTCGTGTATCGCACTACGAACGCTCACGCAAGTCTATATTTTTCGCGGCTTAACCAAGGTTGAGTATGGTGGGAGTGTTATATACACAGCGCGAAAATAAAAGGTTAACTCAAAGGAAAAAAATTATAAAGTTACCGAAAAATGTTATTCAACCATTAACATTCCGGCCTCAAAAAATCCCCAATTTTTCCCATAAACTTATATCCTATATGCTATATACACGGTTGCCCCTTGAACAGGTTAACAGTTAGGGACAAAAGATAATTTGACCAACGGTCGACCGAAAGTACTTTGGCCGTCTGCACTTGCACAACGCGAATTTCCTTGTAGGAACTGGGGTACAAGCGCATGATGCGGCCCAGAAGCCACTTTAAAGGGGGGAGGTTCTCCTCTTTAATTAAAACCAACTGACCAACTTTTGGAGGGTTAGGTATTCCCGATGCCGTCTCTCCCAGAAGTGCTGATGCAAATGCTGCCAACGAGTGAGTCTGTTAGTGTTCAGATTAGCTAAATTGTTGTCAGGAGAGGCAGGTAGGGCTTCCAGGCTCAGAAAATGCCCAGGAGTAAGGCTATGCAAATCGTTTGGGTTGGAACTCAAACTACATAAGGGGCGGGAATTCAGTATCGATTCCACCTGAGTTACCACTGTCGACATTTCCTCGAAAGCCAGGAACTGAGAGCCTATCACGTGAAACAAATGGGTTTTTACCGACTTGACGCCGGCCTCCCAAAGACGTCCAAAATGAGGACTGGAGGGTGGGTTGAAGTGCCAGCGCACCTCGCACTGGTCGTCGCACCAATAATGCGTCTGAACTGAGCTCAGAAGCCAATTCCAAATGGATGACTTTGATAGCCATGCAAAACGAATAGGCAAATGTAAGCTTTGTGGGTCTTAGCGCCGCGCCTTCGCGCAAGGGTAATGGAAATTGGACCGGCGAAATCGACACCGGTATGCAAAAATGGCTTGACCTGCGATACACGAATGGGGGGTAAATCAGCCATGAATGGCTGTACACAAGAAGGTTGGACACGGAAGCATCGGTAAAACTGCGATAAGGTGTGACGAATTGCCCTGCGGGCGGACAAAATCCAGAATTGTTGTGAAATCTAGTATAACAACGATTAGGGGACCGGCTGGCAATTTCTCTTATTTAACTTTTCGATCACGAGTGCGGTAAAGCGATGGTCTCGAGGTAGTAGAAGAGGATGTTATGCGTCGAAAGGCAACGCAGAACCCCGGAGTCGGCCACCGACTCGAATGAGACCGTGCTCGTCCCGGGGTGAAGATGCATATCAATCGACGCCCTGAGACCAAAGCCTCTGTAGGAGAATTGTGGCAGTCAACACGACCGGGGATAAAAAACCTAGGGGATCGTATATTTGGGTTACTTGCGACAAAATATTCCTTTTGGTGCACGTCCTATCCGCCACTTCGATGCGGTAGGAGAACACAACCCGTAAGGGACACCACTGCAATCACAACACCTTTAAACTGGGATTGTCGTCTCCGCAGAGGGAAACGGGTTGATGATGTGAAGCGGGGATTGGACTCGATAACTCGGAGGAGTTGCTCGCCCATTTGCGCAACTCGAAGCCACCCAACTTTAGCAGGGATACTAATTGATCCCTCAACTCACGGGCTTCCTCCAACGAATATGTTTCTCCGATAATGTCGTCGACGTAGGTTTGGGAATCTAAGAGACGAGCTGCTAACGGGTAGCGCGCTCCTTCGTCGCGGGCAAGCTGACGTAACACGCGAATAGCCAGGTATAGGCTACAACATAGTTCATAGACCACCGTTGACAAGACGTACTCTCGCAATGCTTCGCGGGGATCAAAACGCCACAGAATCCGCTGGAAGAGGTGGTCACCGTCACTCACTAGGATTTGGCGGTACATTTGACGAATATCGGTGGTGAAAACCACACAGTACAGTCGAAAGACGAGCAAAATTTCTCCAATGTCAGGTTGGAGCTTGGGACCCGTAAGTAGAAGATCGTTCAGGGACCGTCCGTTGGAAGTTTTGGCTGAAGCATCGAACACAACACGCAATTTAAGGGGTTCACTATGTGGCTTCCCCACGGCGCGATGAGGAATGTAGTAACCTTGGGGAAAGGAGGGCAGGTCGCTGACGAGTGCAATGTGACCTTGTTTCAAATAATTGAGGGTAAGATTCACCAAGTGAAGGGACGGACTCGAGTTCCCAAAATCTCTTCAAAGAATCATCAATAGAATTACTCACAGTGGTATGGTTCTAAAGAATTACTTTTCCTAGGACAACCCATCCGAAGATGGTCCGAAAAGCGCATGGGCCACCGTTCTGTCCTTTTCTAAATCCAGGCAAATAAATATCTCTGTAAACATCTGCCCCTAAAAGCACGTCTATTTTGTTGGGTTCACAGAAGTCGGGATCAGCCAAGGGTAGGAACCGGAGATGTTTTAGATTCCGCTTATCAATCACCTGGTAGGGTACCTGGTCACAAATAGATGGAATAACTAAAGCCTCTATCTTGAGAGCAGGAGATTCTCTTTGGGAGGGGGTCAGGCTCAGGGCAACTTTCCCTAACGCAGATGTCGGCATTTGGTTGAGGGCTTGAATTGGTGTCGGAGAGAGAGACCTTGGAAGCTCCAATTTCTTCGCAAAGGAAGATTCACAAATCACACATCACAAAACTGGCTTGGCTAGCCGAATCCAACAGTGCACGACAAGTAACAAGTCTGCCAGATTTATCCGAAACGGTCACCAAGCAAGTGGCAAAAAGCACGACCTTTTGAGAGGCGAGATTTTTCATCATGGTCACCGGGCTAGGGGTAGTACCTTAATGGTCGCCGGGAGCAGGGGGAGACTCGTTCGAAGGGGAGGGGGTAGTAGCATTTCCAAAATGCACTAAAGTATGGTGACGCTTGCCATATACACGACAAACACAAACGATGTTGCTTGATGAACACATGCCCTTGATGGGGCTCAAGGGACAGGAATGAGTCACACTTTGGTAGTGGTAGAGAATGGTAGCCCATAGGGCAGTCTAAACACTGGTGCAGCTCACATCAACACTCGAAGGGGTAGACGTCACCATCGTAGATGTGGCTCTACGTGTGTCGGTTGAAACTCGCTTCAAAACCTCAAACCTCTTGGTAGGGGCAATACCTTTTGAGGTAACTAAAGGATTTTCTAAAGCTTTACAATTCCGTTCCAAAAAATCACATAAATCTTGAAAGGTTGGGATATCTTTATCACAAAATTTGAGTTCGAACCTCGTCTTGAGAATCGGGTCGAGTTTCTCTAAAAGCAAATTGAATTTTGCAAAATCCCACAAGTTGATATTGAATTTATCGATAGCTGCAAGATTCTCTGAAAATGTTGAAAGCAATCTCCTCAGTTCGACAACGGAGTCACTCTTCATAGTCGGAGCCCGAAAGGTCGACAGCCAATAATCGGTTAACAACAATCGATCCTTTTGATAACGCTTCACGAGGGCATTGTAAGCTATACTATAATTGGCATCATTAATTGGCAAATACTTCACGACACTGAGAGCATCCTTCTCCATATAAGACACTAAAAATTGAAATTTTTCAATATTTGAAAGGGAAGAATTAGTATAGATCAATGTGTTAAACATATCACAAAATGTAGGCCAATTTTTCAAGTCGCCATCAAATTTCGGAATGACAATGCGGGGAGTCGGAGATTACTATTTCTTTGCGAGTCTCAACTAACTACGGATGGTGCCGGAGAGCCTGCCTTAGGTTCCACTTTCTCAAATAATCGTTTGGCAATAAACCACAAACTGTCGATCTCTTTCCGAATCATTCGCTAAGGAGATTACTTTCAATTACAAGAACTCAAAGCGCGAAAATAAAAGGTCAACCCAAAAGAAAAAAATTATAAAGTTACCGAAAAATGTTATTCAACCCTTAACAATAACAATTGATGACAATTGATGTTGTGTTAATATATTAAAAATAAACATAATTTGCCAGCGAATATTTTATATGGATTGGAATGGCATGCAAAGCAGGTACGGATGTTTTCTATTAATAAAATATTGGATAAT